TCTCGCGCGGACTGCTTTACTGCCTGCTCGCAAACTGTCTGCAGTTCAAGAAGGAGGGCGAGGAGAATCCTGGCAACGTGGGGGTTAGCAAGACCCGTGCCCTGATATGCGAGCTGCTGGCCGTGAGGCTGCTCAAGGAGTTTTCCACCCGTGAGCTGATTGATGCGCTCTCCTATGATTTCGATCCCTTGCAGGGCTTGACCATGCCGGGACGCGGCAACATGACCCCAGGCAGCCGAAATTGGTCCAGACAGGGGCCTCGTTCTGCGCGCATCTCGACTCTCGAGATTGCCATTCGCGCTCAGGCAAAGAAGTTCCTCGCCCATCCGCTTGTTGTGCGCCAGCTCGAGGCTATCTGGGCAGGCACCATCGTCTTCCACTCCACTGCCGATAGCCTGCACCGGAAGCCAGACTCCCCCCAAGCGCGCAGCTCCAATGCCTCTGGCGCCGCCTCGCCAAGAACAGGTCCCTCTCGCCGTGCGCCACCCACCAAGCCCTCCCCTCCTCTGGCCCAGCCCGGTACAATTCTTCGACGAACAGTGACGCTATACGATCCCCACGATGCATCGCTTTTCAAACTCTCCCGGTTACGAGTTCCTCGCTACCGCAATCTGTTCTCAACTCTCTCCTTTGCCATTATGCTGGGCCTGTTTCTTGCCGTACTCTCACAAAAGTCCGACGACATCACTGGACTCGAGGTTCTCTTTTGGTTTTGGAGCGCCGGTTATATGCTCGATGAGGTGGTGGGCTTCTCAGAACAGGGTTTTGGTCTGTACATTATGAGTGTGTGGAATGCCTTTGATCTAGGCATTCTGCTCATGTTCATGGCATACTATATTCTGCGTCTATACGGCATCCTCATGCCAGACGTTAGCAGCACCAGAGTTGCAGCCATGGCGTATGACGTACTGGGGTCGACGGCAGTCTTGCTGTTTCCCCGACTCTTCTCTGCCCTGGATCACTACCGTTACTTTTCCCAGCTACTAATTGCCTTCAAGATGATGGCTGTTGACTTGGTTGCGCTGCTTGTACTGATCATTATCAGCTGCAGCGGTTTCTTCGTTGCCTTTAGCTTGGCTTTCAAGCGAGATCTGGGCCCCTCAAATGCTGCATATGCAATCTTCCAGCTCGTCATGGGATTCAGCCCTGCCGCCTGGGACCTCTGGGGAGACATGAACTTTCTTGGCAAGACCCTGCTTGCCTTGTTTCTCTTCATTTGTCATTTCCTTGTTGTGACCATCCTTATCACAGTCTTGACAAACTCGTTCATGGCCGTCGTCAAGAATGCTGATGAGGAGCATCAATTCTTGTTCGCCGTAAACACGATTTCCATGGTCAAGTCGGATGCACTGTTTTCCTATATTCCACCCACTAACATCATCGGATGGTTATTAATCCCGCTCAAGTACACGATGCCGTTCAAAAAGTTTCTACGCATGAACCGGTTCATCATCAAGGTGACCCATCTTCCCATCCTGTTCGTCATCTTCGTCTACGAGCGTCTTATTCTGTCTCATCTTGCATATGGCCCAACAGATCTTGTCGAGAGGCGAGGACGGGCAGAGTCAAAAGCCCCCGTGCCCGCGTTTAGCATTCGTGGCCCCGTAGACTTGTTCAGCCCCCGCTTGCGCGAGCCTTCTGTTACCACGTTCCAAAAAGACCAGGCGTTGGAAGAAGTGTTTCGTAGGCCCTACCTCGACCCTAGCTTCCAGCCCACTCCTAGGTATCCGACCCCGAGAAGGAATTCTGGTAATGTTGTGTCGGACTGGATGAGAAAGATGGGCAACGATGATGAAAACACACCACCTCAGGATGATTCACGGTCAGTTCTGGATAGACTTGAGGGTCGCCAGCGGCCCTATTTGCGACGGGCCAGAACTTCCGGTCAGCAAAGGCGAAAGCATCCACTCGCTGCCGCGAGGGCTGTTGTGTCGGATCCAGATGAGCTTGTGACACCTTTCAGTGGTCCCATTGCAGAAGAGTCGGAACCCGAAGTTGACAAGGCGGTCATGGAGGAAGCGCCACAGCAAACTGATGCCGATGGAGATGATGAAGACGATCAAGCCAGTACCGATCAAAACGTTACTCCTCGACGTGAGCCCAGTCCAAAAGAGAGTAAGAGGCCCCAGACTGGATACGAGTCTTCAGAGGATGAGTTCTTCCGTACGCCTATGACTGGCGTTCAGCGGACGCAGACGCGCTCTTCAGGAATTGCAATTGCACCGTCAGAATCCAGTTTCATGGAGAGCAAGGCGACATCACCTGGCAAGAAGCGGTTGAAACCAACGCACAACCGAAACACATCTACGAGCACGATCTTGTTTAGTCCCATCAAGGACACAATGAGCACATCTCGTGCAGTATCACCCGAGAAACGGCCCAAGACTGGTAATCGCAGTGGAACAGCCACAGGAACAGCCACTCCAGGTCGCTTGGAGGGCTCAAGCGGGACGGGTGCACGTACACCTAAGCGGGTACTGCCTCCTCCCGCTCCCGGCTCTCGGCCTCGTGCGATCATGCCACCACGGAGGAATTCGGCTAATTTGCTCTTAAACGACAACTTGACGCGAGAGCCGTCTTTCAACGCAATTGCCTTGGACCTAGCGTCGGACATTGGAGATAATGCACTCAACCCTAATTTTGGCAACCTCAGTGGACTGCCCGCATCTTTCACGACGCAATTCGAAATGGCTGCTAGGATGAAGGCGCGCGAGAAGCAAAAGGGTAGCGACAATGACTCGGACTCGAACCGTATGAGCAGAATTATGCTCGCACGAATGACGACATTGGAGGAAGGCTTCCGTGACATGCTCCAGGAGGTCAAGGGCCTGAAGCAAGGAGAGAGCCAGGGGGGCAGTCGGGGAACGCATTCACCACCCAGCGAACCTATGAGTAAGAAGAAGGGAAAAGCGAAGAAGAAACTCAGTAAGCGCGGCGAGGGTTCTGGAGATAGAGTTGGTTCCAGTACGTGAGCCAAGATGGAGAGGCATGACATGACATGATGCAGTCGCTTGCATTTGCATATATCCGGTGTTATCTGCGCATTTACAAGACCCATGGTCTTCTTTTCGGGGTGGTTTGGCATTCTGCTTTTGGGAAACATACCCAATGGGTATTTATGTCTGACCAGAGGCGTTTTTTCGGATTTGGACATTATAGTCCCCTGGGTGCTGGTCTGCTCTCCTGTATCATTATAGCGTATTCCGCATTGGCCTCACGATTTGTAATTGCTTAGTCTAATATACTTGCTGCCTATGCATTCATATATGCGCGGCTTGCAGAAACCACTGTTCTTGATGAGAGAGATATGAGGAGTAGCCAGTAGAAGCAATGGCTGTCATCCCTGGCGCATGCAGCTGTCCTGCTAACACTACTTTCTTGAACACTGTCGAGACTGTCTTGTCTATTTCTGTTTGGAGACTGTTCATTTCACTGATTTTATCATATACATGCGAGAAAGACCGAGAAGTCTTTAGGGAAATGAGCATGATAATGAGCAGAGAAGAGCGTACGTAGCAATCTAAAAACACCCTAAAATAGAATGATCTCTTTCCTTTCCGCGCGTCACGTGACGCAAGCTAAGGATCAGCTAGAACACACGACCCAGACCTGCGCATGTCCATATCCGCCGATCTACCGCTCCACAAAACCCTGAAGATCTTTTCAGACTTAAGATCTCACCATGACGAATCGCACACTGCAAAAAGGGTAACGATCAGTGCTTATTGGTCTGGTTCCATTGCTACGAGTGTCTAGAATCATTGCTAAGAGGCAGAGGGAACACGCAACAAATATAGTCGTATGCGCCCACAATTTTTCTATTGAGATTTTGCAGCTAGTGTGGTTAAACAGGCAATGCTTGAGGCACATCGCCATACGTATATGCATAGGATATGTAAAGATACAATTGTAGCTAAAAATTGCACATGTATCGACAGCTTCACAAAAGTTGCATGGTCATGCTATCGCATCGCGGCGAGATTGCCTATAGCGGATAAAAGGAGAGATATAGATGTATGTGTAGCTATGTATAGAACGCTTCCACGATGTTCCTAGAATTCCTGCCTATAATGCAAGACCGAATTTCAAACGATTGAGCAACAAGTATGGAAAACACAATTCTTCTCATCTCTCGTCATCATCCAGCCAAATAACACCCAAAAAGGCGTTCCGAGAAGAGTAGCCATAAAAAAACTCCCCAAGCATGCTGTGGCAGGGTAAAAGACTAGCGATTCTAGAACTCTGGGTAGCAACAAGAAAAGAACAAAGAGGTGGGTCCGCTACTATGCATGGAAACCATAGCATTGATCGGAAAGGGACGGGGAGATGAAGCGCAGACGTAATAAACAACGTTTGTGTATGTGCTCATGGGGTGACGCGCGCCCTTTCCCCACAACCCAAGCCAAAAGGTGGGGGGGGAATTTGTTTCTCGACCGGAACCTCCAAGCAGGGAAAACCAAGGTTCGAGGCTGCATGCGTCTCCCTCCGCCCGCCCCGCCCCGGTGTCTCCCCGCGCCCTTGCTGGGTGGGAAGCTTGTGTATTACGAGTTTCTTGAGTAGTACTTATTTCGCCTGTCTCTCCCTCTCTTTGACTTTTGGTACTTTGACTTTGACTTCTGCTTTACCATTTGCAAACAAACCTAAAATAAACCCTGGTTCATCAATTCCTCGAACACCACCTCTCATATTCACGACACATTGCGACTTGAGTGATTTTCCTTTATCCCTCTCACTCGAACAGAGTCGACTGAATCGCCGTTTTCGAACTACTTGGATTAAAGTTTCCATCTCTAGCCGCTAGGGAAGCCACCAAACGAACGCTTATCCCCGCATCTTTCCAAGCAATTTGGAATAGGGTACTAAACAAAGGACTGGTACGGTTGCTTTGACCCTGCGAAACCCGTGGAAAAAAGGAGCCTAAGACGATATACCCTTACAAATACTCGTGTGGACGTCAGCAACGGGGGCAATTCACAACGGAATACAACAACAAAACGAATATGGCGCCCATCCACAAGACACCCAGCGAAGAAGGTAAGCACCGTCGTCCTATCCCCATCTATACAAACAACCAGAGAAACTAACCCTCCTTCTCACACAGAAATCGCAAAAACCCTCGGCAACCTCAAGCTCTCGCCCTCACATCCCGAGAAGCCCCTCAAGAAACCCAAATCCAAGCCGGTAGCCGACAGTTGGGACGACGACGACGCCCTCAGCTCCTCCGACACCGAGACCGAAACCAGCAATTCCACCACAAAAAAGGGCAAGGCATCCCAACAAGACCCGCAAGACGGCAAATCCTCACCCCAAGACGCCCTAAAACCCCTCTCAACAACCTCCTCCCACACCGACGACACCGACGTGCCCCCGAACCCCCCACCTCCCACCCCCGCCTCACCCACGCAATTCGAGTACCCTCACGGCGACAATGTAGGGTACAGCATTGGTAATGACGGACCGCGGAGTAGGAGTAGCCCTGCGAGTCTGGATAAGCGACCTGAGAAGACGACGGCGGTGGCCGGGAGGATGATTGCGGGGGCGTTGGGGGTGCGGGCGCCGAGGCGGACGGAGGAGGAAAGAGAGTATGATCGCGTTATGAGGGAGAAGGAGAGAAAGAGGCGGGCGGAGGAGAAGGAGAGGGAGAAGAGGGAGGCGGAGGCGAGGGAGGCGAGGAAGAAGGCTGTTTGGGATGATTAGTTTGTCGGGTTTCCTTGTGTGTTAAAGTTGGGATACTTGGGCTGTGTGAGCTAGATGTTGGATGAGAAGCATGAAACCTTACCGTTTTGTATATAAAAATATAAGATTTAAGGGAAATGTACGATTAGCCTTTTTGCTTTTCCTCATTGCATGCGTTTAGATGTAGGGGTTGTACCTTGTCATTATATACAAGACTTTGTGGAGAATGCACAATTAGCCTTTTGCTTGTATAGGCAAAGTTGCGTCATCACATCACGATATTCCACTGTGCCATTCGCGCAGCACACGGGGGTTTCCCAAGGCATCAAGGGTCAGATGGAAGAACAGTAAATGTAGTGAATTTCAAATCATCTCCCGCGTTAAAGCGCATCCGCAAATCCACCTACCCGCCGCCGCCGCCGCCACTACTACCTGAATGAAGAACACCAAGAGGGGACCGCCCAAAGACGGAGCTTGGTAGTACCATGACGCCAGAAAATCCGTGATATCCATATCTGACAGCGAAATAAAAGAAAAAAAGTGCAAAAAAGGGAAGAAAAGAACAAGGTCAACTCTTTCCGCCACGCCTTCGCTCAAAGCAGTCATATCTTCGTACGTCTCGGGCAAGTCGCAAGGTCGGTTGGTTGGGTTAGGTTGGCTTGGGAGGTATAGACAGTCAGTTGTCTAGCCGCCGGATATTCAGGGCATAGCAACGTTCCAGAAAAAGCCATGTAGTCCATGACGCTGGTCAGCATCCGCCAATCTGCTCCTGGTGGACCTCGAGGGTGTCGCCATCCTGCATGTCAAGCTATACCGTGTTAGTCCACATGTGTGCATGCGTGTATGTGTGTGTGTGTTGTTAGGCTAACGGCCCATGTACCCCGCGAAAAAAAGGAAGCGAGGAAAACAAAAAAGGATTGGCGGCAGTGGAGGGCGGATGGGCGGCAAAAAAAGAAGTTGGCTACGTACCGTGTCTGGGTTGTCCTGGGCAGTGACACGCTGGCCGTCGAAGAGAAATCGGACGCTGGAGATGTTCTTGCCCTGGCGGTCGCAGAAGGCGTTCATAAGCTTACCGAGGGCCGTGGTGCGCTTGATCTTGAAAAACACCTCGTTGTTGTTGTCTGTGACCTTGATGTTCAGGTGTTCGCTCTGGCCGCCATCCTCGGGCTTCTGCTGCACGTTGTTGGGGGAACCGTTCTCGGACATGTTGGTAGTAGGGGTGGTGGCTGTTGATTGTGCGACTGGGATGCTGCGTAGCAAGGGGATTAGGCTGGAGGCTTTTAAATGGGAGGGTCAGTCGTGGGGTGGATGGGAGGTGGAGCGGGAGGTGAAGGAGGAGGGCACGATTTGCCGCGCGGGACGAGGCTGCAATGTGTGGTGCGGAGATAGTCGTACCTTAATACCGGCGGGCGGGCTTGCAAATCGGGGTGGGTGATAGAAGCGTCTAGTGAGGGCGAGCAAACGCGTCGGATGGGACTGCAGCAGCGGTGGCAACGCGTGAAAAGACGATTGTGAAGGATCAAGGCGCAAGACTGAGGTGTGAGCACTTCGGAATTAGTGGGGGTCTCGCTCACCAAGCTTTGGCCGTTTCTAGCCCTCCGGCCTCACCTTGCCCATCTACCGCATCCGCAAAACTAGGGCCGCCTGACTTTGTCCTTTACATAATCGCTTCCTGTCTCACAACTGTAGTCTCCTAGTACATGAGATTTGATAGTTTTGCGGTACTTTGGGGCGGATTGACCATGGTACGGTTATGATGTCACGCTGAAAGAACTGGGTAGGACAGCCGCACTGACAAGACGACAGGGAGAAATGGAGAGAGATTTGCAGACAGACCCTCCTTGCCATCCACGGGCATGTGCAATTCAAAGTGTGTCGCGCAGGAAATGCAGTACGTGTATGAAGCTAAGTAGCGGTAGATTGCATACAGAGGAACAACTACAACGAAGAAAAGTGCAGGAAAGAGGTTGGTTCCCATGGCCCGAGGCAGCAATACGGTATCCTGCAAAACAACAATTGACAAGTCCCAGGTGGACGCATTGTATGAGTGCTGCAATGCCTTTTACCAAAGACAGGGCGAGAAAGCAAGCACCGTGAGCTGTCCGAAATATTCGCTTTTGAAGTATGATCGAGTCTGTCGCCATGTCGCTGCTAGGCTAACAGAAAGCAGGCTCAAAATGCAACAACGCGCCAAAGGCATCTCATAGAATCCAGTCTTAATCACCGCCGGATACGGCCTTGTATCATTAGTTCCCAGAATAAGAACCACAGCCAGCCAGTCGTAGCTGGAAAAAGGGCATGTAACACTTTCTTTCTTGTCCGCACCATCAAACTTCCGAAAAAGTCCAGGCGGTTTTACCAGGAAGTGTGTTTCTCTAACATGGCATGAGCGCGTCGTAGAACACTGACGAATTTCCGACGAGACTCTATAGTAGCACATGTATAGGTTATAAACATTGTAAAGAAAGAAAAGAGCAGCGGAGCGCATCCCCAACGAGGTTTTTGTACTTTTGCATTAGCGCGCGCCGTCCTTGGCAACACGCTAACCCGCCAGGCACGTCCGGGCGCGACTTCTGTTTTGTGACGGGCTTAGGACGCTCAACCACGGCCATCCCAGGCCCTCACCAACCCATTGACAAGTCTCTGACTACCCCGGCCTACAGTCGCCGCATCTCCTTGTCGTCTGCCATATCCTACGCTCCCTTCCTTTTTCCCTAACATGGCGCTACGACCCTTCTCGCGCCAGTCGCAGTCGACTGCAGCACAGGTAAGTCATCAAACAGCTTCCAGCCTCGCCCACGACAACACACATAGATGGATTCCATGGCAGCTGACACCGGATTCAGTCGCCAAATAGTAATGCGCTTTTGTTTGGCGCTTCCCGACCAACAAATGGCACCACCTCAAACGATCCGCTCCAACCACTGCGCGCAATGGCCGACCGCGTAGGCAAAGAAGTCGAGAAGTTTGCAGAGCGGGTCGACCACTGGCATACACATGGAAATGACTCCAAGAGGGCCAAGTACCACACCACGGTCAAGTTGGTCGGCAAATTCCAGGATGTCGCAGAATCTCATGTCAAGGAGTTGAAGCGGACGACGGAAGCAGAGAACAAGGGCAGTCTGAGCAAAACCATCCGGCGGCAGATACAGAGCATGGCAGATGCGTCGGAGAATGCGCCCCAGAGTCTCTTTGCTCAGTCCTCCCAATCCGTCAATTCATCGATTGAGAACAACACCGCTCCTGTTTCCGCAAACGTCCAGGAGCTTCGAGAATGGCAGGCGGAGCTTGCGACGTGGAAACTGCTCAAGCTCGTCATCGAACACTACCACCCCGATCCTGATACCGATGTGGCTGCAGAGAAGAAGGCGCGTTTGGAAACTGCTGGAGGCACTGCACGGTACTGCAAGAATAGCGAAATTTGGGACAGGTTCATACTGGAGGATGACCAGGCGAAAGAGAAGGCTCTTGTTCTTCGCTGGTTGGAGCAGACAGCACGAGACAGCGAAAGCGATGTCAAGGCCATTACCGCAGCACTCGAGGAGCATTCGGGCAAGGGCGCGCATACATGGACAAGTGGCTGGCTCGACACCAAAGCGAAGATCAAGCAGGCGAAGCGTATGGAGGGGGCCGAACAGCCATTAAAGCCTGCCAACACAAACATCCAGACCTCGGACAAGACTGCGAATCTTGTTACACAGCTCGACCCAGATGCTCCCTCCAGGCAGAAGCGTGCGCTTGAAAAGAACGACGAGTACTACGAGCGTTCCCTTTGGATGGTTGCATACGAGATGATGCGCCGTGGACTACCATGGACAACCATTGTCGACTGGTGCTACGAACGAAACGAATCCTGGCGCGGAGTCAGCATTGGAGCAGCATACGAGAGTCACCCTGAAGGTGGTCCCAATGTTGCTGGACTAACTGTTGGCTATTTGTTCCGCCGCATGTGTTTCTACGCCGCGAGAGGGGCACGGATACCTTATGAAGGCGCCGTATACGGTCTGTTGAGTGGAGACTTGAAGCAAGTACAAGCAGTCTGCCGATCTTGGGACGACCATCTTTATGCTCATTACAACGCCCTCCTTCTTTCCCGGTTCGATACGTATCTCCAAAGGAACTACCCGACCAAGGTGACGGAGAGCTTGACCCAAAAGTTCCTTTTCCAAGATGCAGTAGCTAACATTGGAGATTGGGAAGCCTCACCTAAGAAGGTCGTTGGTATACTAAAGCAGCAGAGGAGTACCGCCAGCCAAGCTGTCTCACCGATCAAGCTCATTCAAGGCGCGCTCATCGGCAGAGATGCTGACGACCTGATGCTAAAAGTTGGCATGGCCCTAGCGGATATGTTTGCTCAAGACAAGCGACCTCACAGCCTCATCATACACCCAGATTCGCCAGAGGAAGACCGATCGCCTGTACCAGCGGGAGAATACCGGACCTTTGAAGCGGAGCGATACTATCAGAACCTTGTCAAAGATCCCCACGCTTTCCGAATCTTGGTGCACATCTTCATTGTCCTCCGTAATGGACTTCATACGCTCTTTGAAGATACACAACAGGACAAACAGTTCCTAACCATGGACAATGTCATCGCTGCTTACATTGAGTTCCTGCGCCTTACTCAACGTTTTGACGCCATCCCGCTTTACGCGGCACAGCTGATCGAAGAGCGTGCGGCATATACCCTAGCACGTGTCCTTCCCGACATCAAGAACAGCACTGAGCAACGGCACTGCGTTGCGCTGATGGAATCGTATCGACTTGATGTAATCCAGGTCGTGTCTCAAAGCTTTACGTTTGCCGCACGGGATAGTGGATTTACTCACTTCAACAGTGCGGGCATTACCGTCATCACAAACCCCATCAAGCGTTTCAAGATTTTGGAGCCTGTCAGTGTACCTCATGAGCAAGTCCTGTGGCCCGGTGTGCGCATAAAGCGATCATTCGATGGCGAACAGATTAGCGAGCAAGACGAAATTATTGTTGATGCTTTGCAATGGTACAACTACATTGGCAAGGATTACGAACACACGTTTGAGCACCTCAACAATGCGCTGACCATCTTCCTTCGTAAGTACTGTCTACAAGTTTTGATGCCGGTCCCTGGCTAATATGTTATCTAGTCAACGGTCGCCTAGCTGCTGCCGAGAAGGTCATCAATGATCTCAGCGTCGAGTCTCTGTCACTGTCGCGTACAGAGGCCCTTACTGGCTATCCTTTCGATTTGATGAGTCCTGGAACAGAAGAACAAGATGAGCGTCAACTCCATGAGCATCGCGACAGCCTCTCAGCCGCTGCACGGGCTGCTGCAATTCCCATTTCACAATTACCTGATGCCAACCAGCACAGGCAATTGGTGATGCAATTGCGTCAAGCCAGCTTGCCATACTATAACCTCCAGCAAATCGTTCGCCTACTCGTTCTTTTCCGCGAATGGCGCGAGGAGGAGCAAGCACTTATCCAGTCAGTCCCCGCTCTTCATGTACCTCATTTCACACCAGCTAACGAACAACTCAGGATCCGTGCGGACCGTCAGAAAGAGACCACCGGCGCCAAAGCAAAGCCAGACACTCAACATACGAAGGCTCTTCTGGACTCCATTTCCACCATCTTCGATACCCTCCTGCCCTCGATCTCTCTTTATTCTGCTGCCGACCCTCACTACTTGACGGAGCAAACGTGGGATCTCCTCAAGGCCTACATTCCCGACATGGTTCTTGCCTATCTTTCCGTTCTCCAGTCTGCATCATGGTTCTTGAATAAGGACCCCGCCATCAAAGCTATGGAGGTTGCCGTTGTCATAGCTGACAAGAGTAACGAGTGGCTACAACACTGTCTGCTAGAAACCGGCAGGATGAGTGAGGTATTGGAGTGCTTGGCTGGCGTGTCGAAGTGCATGTTAAAGCTTACCGAGGGAGGCAAGGAGAAGGGTAACAAGAAGCGAGGAGGCAAGGGAGAGACGCTGAGGATATGGGATTTGGGTGCTAGATAGCGTCGGTGCAGAGAAATGGAGTGAAAATGACTGCTGCATGTGTAATATACAATTTTTTTTCTGGATTTGCGTTGGTTGTAGTCTGCACGAAGGGCACACCCATAGAAGAACTATATGATATGGTAACGCGGCTAATTTGTATTCAAACGTTATATATAGTAAATGGTGAGGTATGGAGAATACCCACTAAAGATATTCCTACCAAGTCGTATTATTGAATTGCCAACAAATGAAAGAGATCGTTGTAAATCCGACTTGCATGATATTTCTGCAAGGAAATAGAAAAAGAGTGGCGTGTACCCTGTACACCCTATACATCTCCCTGTCGTATTTGTGAAGACCATTGGCACCTAGTGGAATGCTCTCAGCAACTGTTCGGTAGCGATTCCCAAGCCACCGAATCCCAGCACAGTCCACAGCCACTTGTTCTTCAGCTCATCGACACTAGGCCAAAATGCGTTCTTCTCCGCGCGGAACTTTTCCAACTCACGAAGTTTCTCAGGAGACGAAGCAGAATATCTGCGTTGTTGATGCTGCTCCTTTTGCGCATCGCCGCCGAAGAAGCGGAGGAAGGCGTAGTTTGCCGCGGGGCCCAGCAGTTCGACGGGTGCAAGCATGTCGGAGCCGTATAGCATGACTATGAAGGAGATGTGGACTAGTGCGTCACCTAGGTAGCTGGAGTAAAGTTAGAAAGGGCCAGAATGATATGTTGGGGGAGGGGGGGCTCAGAAGTAACCTACTTGGGGTTGCGGACAATGCTCCAGACACCTTCACGCAGGATTCCCTTGTTGCCCTCGGCCTTGTACTGGTCAAGCTGGTAATCCGCAATACTCTCGAGGGCCAAACCAGACGAAAACAAGCCAACTGCCAGCATCTGGACCAGAGGATGGTAACCCGTCATAACCGCACCTTCATGACGGAAAGGGGCAGTAAACGGCAAACTGATCAGCATCTGGAAGAAAGCCTCCGGAATAAAAACCTTGAAAAGCGCAGTATTCCAGAACCCATCCTCTTCTTTCACCTCCACATACCGCGGATCATCTTCACCCCGCTGAATAGACCTTCTTGCAATACGGTAAAAGAGGCGGCCTCCCCACAACGTGACGCCAGTGAGCATAACCCGCTCATGCCAGGACAACCGACTAAAAGCTTGCGAGACAGTGTACCCAGCAGCTACACGCCGGCCGACAGCAGACCACCACGCATTGACAACCTGTCCACTAGGCCACAACCAGTCCTTCGCTTCAACCCGATCCGTATACCGCGCTGCCCCGTATGCCAACACCGCTAAACCCGCATGCAGCGAGAAAGAAGGAACAAGCGTATCTTTCAGGATCCCGACATCGAACAGCGACGCACTATACACGTGTGTCTTGGAATGCGTTCTGTCGACTGCGATCTTCGGGAGGTTGGAAGTAGTTGTTGCGGGACTGAGCCCGGAACTGGGTTGCAGGTAGAAATCGTGAGGGCGTTGGTCGGCGACTTGGATGCGGAGGTCGGGAGGGTCAGACGGTGCCTCTTTTGAGGAGGTGTTGCTGAACCAGCTGGACGCCATAATTTGGGTGGGAGTGGAGCGTTTTCAGTGTACTACCATAGGGATTTGTCGCGCGAGCATGCTGTTATATCACTTTTCTGGATGGAGCGTTTCCCCGCATTTGCAACGGAGGCGGGCGCGCGGCATGATGCTTCTTATTCGTCCGGGTGTGGATAGAGGGGTTCTTGGGTGCGTTCATTGCGTTGGTACTATGATCCAATCATGCAGTGACTTGTGTACGACCCAGTTCTGGTATTCGTTGGGTTGGTGGATCGGTTTGTGTTGGGGTGATGTCGTGTGAAGGTTCGTGGTGATGTCACTATTGATCCTAGCTAAAAAGTGGGGCGGTGATGTACATGTCCATGTACCATATAGCCTACTTGGGTGCTGTATAGGTGGTATGTTCAGTTTCACCACTGGATTGTGGTAGGCAATAGCGGTACGGTGTAATGGCTTGTTCATAATTAGTGAACGTATATTGTAGACCGCTATTGCCTTCACTTCTGCGATAACAAATATGGCTTCACTTTACTCTGTCACTATGTTAATAACTAAATAACCGCCCTTCTATACTCTACAACCCCCGACAAACACCGCAAGTTCAATTTGGTTATGCTTTCGCAACTACGCACCCACGTCCAGTCATGGTGGCAACAGACACCTCTACCAATAACTACAGCACCGCCTAGCTTCCAAAAGTGGCACGCCTTTGATCAAGATCGATGGATGCCATTCTTTAGCGACAGAAATTCTCAGTCCAGCATCAAGCATAAATGGGTAGGCTCACTCCGTCTCGTGACTTGGAACGTAAATGCGGATGCACCGTTCCCAAAATCTCGCATATCCGCACTGCTGGAGGTTATCAAAACTACCGGAGCTACAAATGTTATTTTCCTTCAAGAAGTATCAAAGGACGCGCTTGCAGCACTTCTTGGAGAACCCTGGATACAGCAAAAATGGTACATAAGCGACATCGATGCTTCCGCGTTTGGAACCCAGAAGTTCATCAGCGTCACCCTGGTGTCTAAAGTTTGGGTAGCCACAGAAGGTATTCTGCTCGGCGCCATCTGGAGGATTTCACTACCTAGTCGTTTCGGGCGAGACGCTCTGTGCTGCGATATGATCTTTAACTCTTCAACCGACAAGACCTCTGGTAAAGGTCCCACCCGTATCCGACTGATTAATGTCCACTTGGATTCCTTGCCAATTAATCCGTCACTCAGGCCGCATCAACTGTCTATTTGCGCATCGTACCTGAGTACAGCTGGCCGCGGCATCATCGCCGGCGACTTCAATCCTGTTCTCCCAGAAGATGGTGACCTTGTGCGTACCAACGATCTTACCGATGCATGGGCATGCCTTCATCCAAACAACGCCGGTCACACTTGGGGCGTATACGGTGAACATGTCTTCCCACCAAATCGGTTCGACAAGGTTGCTCTTTTCAATCTTACCCCTTCAGCCATGGGCATCCTGCGAACAAGCGAGGTGGAAATCTATGACATGACAATGCCATTTGGTGGACCGGAATTGGCTGAAAAGGTGCATTTTAGCGATCATTTTGGTGTTTGGTGCGAGGTTAAATGGGAGGAAGATCGAGTATAGCCGCAATGATGGATGTGTGAAGATTGAGTAAGGGGATGGGAAATTCGTGCAGGTTGCATCCTGACGATCGGAAAATGTAGAATTTACTCGAGGCATCTCGGTAACGGGTGTGATACCCGCAATCGTTTGTAAAGTCTCAGAGACATAGTTGATTGCCAGTACCTAATACAAGTATGTTAAAGTATAGCTTACCTTTCTTGCTTTGTGGAATGAGAAGATACCACGCTGGAAGCGAAACTGGCAGGTACAAACATATCAAGTAAGTACTAATCGATGACGTCAGGTAGAACCGAATGTACCCCTCATGCCGAGGCATGGCTTCATAGCAAGATTTGTAGTGAGGAATATTTACAAATATACGTATTCATATAATTACTTGAACTAACAACCTCATCATGGCGTCCAACAAGCCGAATGCATTCAACCCACCTTCTGTGGTAGAGCCACCGCCTACCTACTCTCAAGTTTGCGTCACTCCAATAGTCGCTTCATCCGCCTTGGTTACGCTCGCCGGCCAAACAGGCCTACAAAAAGATGGCACGGTGCCTTCTGGTATCAAGGCACAAGCAAAAGCCGCCTATGAAAGCATCCACAAGTGCTTAGAAGCTGCTAGCGCAACACCGCGAGATATTGTATGCCCTCCGAAACATTGACGCAACTGAAGAGGCATGGGGTTACCACAAAGGGAAATTTACAGGCATGTTGCTGACAATGCTTTCAATTCTAGGTCTTCGTCCGGCACTACATTGTTAAGGAAACGGGCGATAAAGAGCAAGATGCAAAGGACGTCGTGGAGAGAGGTTGGGGCGAGGAATGGATAGAATTCATGGATAAGAAAGCAGATGGACATCGCCCCCCGGATACAGTCGTTGGAGTTGCAAGTCTGGCGTTGAGGAAATTGTTATACGAGTGTGAAGTCACGGCGATGATTAGTCGCTGAAACACTTGGATTCAAAACGCAACATCACCTTGTACTTAGTACAACCGTTTTTGGCTATGGCCAAGCGAGTAACCAATTACACCTGCAAATGAGATATAGGGGGTATTTTTGTGACAGATAAGAGATAGAAGACGTGGCATACAATCGCGTATAACTTTGAATTTCTACAAGGATTATTATCCGTCCCTTGAACGGAAGACGCGGCTAGCAGTCGTTGCCGTGAGGGGAAACTCGGGTCGGCAGTACCTTCCCGTTCGAGAATGAAATGCTTCTTATCGCCATTGGCTACAAGCAGCATAGAGGCACAGTACATAGATACACCGCAGCTCTACATAATACTCTCTACTTCACCACCGATTCCTCTGACAGCATCTTCTCTTCACCATGGCGCTTACCTCGTTGCTGTCCATTGCGCCATTCCTCACCGTAGCGTACACCCGGGAAATCACTTTTCCACCCGTCGCCGGATACGGATCTCAGCAGGTTATTCCTCAGGGACTATTCGAGTCCGATGTTACTCAAGCCAAGTTTGCAGGACTGTCGACATATGCCAACCTGCCATATGTACATTGTCTCGCGCCCGAAGGAGACGATGTTGAGCCGTTTGACATTGCTATCCTTGGCGCGCCATTCGACACTGTAAGTCACACGCTATGCCGGGCGCAAATATTGTATATGGAAAAGGTGTGAATGAGGCGGATGCTGATGACTGGTAGGCTGTAACTGCTCGTCCTGGAGCGCGCTTCGGCCCTAGTGGCATTCGAGCTGGATCACGTCGGCTAGGTCCTTTGTGGAGCGTTTATACTGGTAAGTAGAGATGCCATGAAAGTTTCTAGGTGGTACAGTCGTTTCCTCGAGTGTGGAATTCGGCTGCAAGAGCTATTACGTGTGAAATTTGCGCACGTAACAAGGTCACTGCGAGTAACAATCGCAAAAGATCGTGCACGAATCAGCAGCACTAGTGTAACACTTGGCTGTTGAAAACCGCCATCTCGGCGTCGCCTTATTTTCCTTTCTTGATTGTTTTCGGAACTATTTACAGTCTGAGAACCGACCGAGATTAATTTCAAACAGGAGAAAATGTCTACTTCGATTGGGCCAAGATAGTCGACTGCGGTGATGCTCCGTTGACTTTCTTGGTAATGCCACCCACGCACAACACCAAAAGCAAGATTGACTCAGAAATGTAACAGGACAACACAGTAGCCCTAAAGCAGCTTGACAGATCCCACAAGGTCCGTAGCCCACCTCTAACTATAATGGAGACTTTGACTGATTGTTGGCTTCAAGATCATCTCTTCCAGAAAAACCAACTCAACCGAGCATGGTGGTACACCAAAGATTATCACTCTAGGGGGCGATCACACCACCACATTACCTGCGCTACGATCAGCCTATCACCACTGGGGTCAAGTCAGTGTGATTCATTTCGACAGCCATTTAGGTAAGCCAGACCAATCTCCCTAGCTGATTTCCGCTGACTGTCGACCAGACACTTGGGATCCAGAGGTGTTGGGTAAGTTCAATATTTCCTTTTGTACGACAACTTGCTAATGTGTGATAGGCGGAGGGATTTCCCACTACGCGTAAGTATATCTCCAATCTTGTTCTGTGTACGACTTACTAAAGGCGAATATTGCAGTGGCGTCAACCATGGAACGTTTCTGCACATTGCACACGAAGAAGGCTTGATCAGGAATTCATCGATCCACGCTGGCATCCGAGGAGCAATTTTACGACCAAAAGGTGATATCCGAAATGATATCCGCTGTGGCTTTGAGATGGTCAAGGCCCGGGACATTGATCGCATTGGCGTATCGGGAGTTATCGAGAAGTTGAAGGCGCGAGTGGGGGATAGTAAGGTGTACATCAGCGTTGATATCGATGTGCTGGACCCGGCTTTTGCTCCTGGTGAGTTCTGACCTGATATCACTACGCGGCGCGATACTCGCATTGTTACAATGTGGGAATAGATTATGGCCAGTAATTTAACGTTAAACGGTGTAACTGATGTAAACTATAGCCACGGGAACTGCCGAGGTTGGTGGCTGGAGCACACGAGAGTTACTCTCTATCCTGGATGGTCTTGAGGGAATGGATGTAATTGGCGCTGATGTTGGTATGTATCTTGTTGTGTTCACGATCCACCGCTGTTCAAACCGACTAGACTCTGACAACATTTGGTATTATAGTTGAAGTTGCCCCTGTATACGACAATGCCGGCGAGACAACAGTTTTGGCAGCTGCAGAAGTAGTACAATCCCTCATTGGATTGATGATCAAAGCGCCAGCTTGAAAGACGGGAGAATGATGGTTTATATGGGGGTTGTGTAAAATTCTGAGTGGTGTAATGTCGGATATCAGGTCGTTTAGTGGTCATCAAGTTGAGGACAAGGAAATAATAGTCGTTGCTGGATTATATAATCAAATACAAATATGCATGTTAAGAGTCTAAGCTTCGACGCTGGCGATCATTTGAATGAGTATGTGTGATTTGGAGATATCCAAGGTGTCGATAGATGACCTTTTCTACAACATGATATGCGCGAATCAACTGAGAAAACGAACCTCGTCTACAGATTCGAGCTTTCCGCCTTTAGTCGTCCTACAATATTGTACCGCTTGCTGAAAAACGTGTGCCAGTCATTCAAAACTCCCAGCTCTTTCTCAGACAACCCGGAGTAATCGGATATACAATCCTCTGGCTTGAGAGAAGACAGACCAAGAGCGCGGTTAGGCTCCTTGCCCGCAAAAACTGGGATGGTTTGTTAGCTGCATTCAATTACAGAAAGAGGGCTGGGCTAAACAAACCGTGGTAGCCTTTTCCAGGCGCATATGTCTCCTTACCGCTGACATCAAAGACGTCGCCCTAGATCACCGTCAGTTCCACTGCACGTGCCTCGGGATAACATCTCGATGATGGGTTCAATAATATACCTTGATAGCAACTAATGTTGGGTAACCTTCATTTGTACCTGAATCTGTTGTCAGTCGATCCGGTCTTCCAAAAACAAGCCAGATTGCGGTTGCTTAGAGACAGCCTTACCATCGCACTTTGCCAAATAATCCCTCTCAATGATGTCATCTTTGGGAGGGTTCAGCGTAACAGGCTCCTTTGGAGCGAACTTCTCTTTCTTGGGTTCAGCGGCGACGTCGGACATGGTGGGGGTGATTCAAAAGGTCAGTGTAGGTGCGGGAATAGCGAGGAAGTGACCCGGGGACTTTCAAGTCGCGATGCTGGCCGAGGCCTGTGAGGTGGGGTGGCACGCCAAACCGTTCTAGGCTAGTGCTGTTGTGGACTTCATTGCACCATTTTCTGCTCGGCTTCCTATTTGTTGTCGCAGTTACAAGACTGGCTTCCAGACTGATTCCCGAACATTCATCATCGAATTTTCTGTATATGAAAGAGGTTATCCTGTTCCTCATTCGACTATCCATCATTTAATGCGTATGCCTCAACAAAAGCGATGATCGTACATTTACCTAATATTGAATCGTATGTACATGCAGAATAATTCGTATACAGTGAATCACGATTCCCCAAAATGCCAAACCAGCCATTCAGCAAAGTCCATGGCTATGTGCCCAGATTGTGTCGCCGGGACAGAATACTCACATCATCTAACTGGATGAAGAAACATTAAAGTCTGTTACAGAATTTCGATGAACACTCCGAGAAGATACCTGAGCATTATACAACCCACACTCATGGGTGCATAGCAAAATGCAGTTTCAATTTCTGCCATCAACCCCATATGCTGACCGAGCATCACAAGATACTGGGAGATAAATTTGCTCCCTTGTGCAGTCTTTGCAAAGTTCTTGAGGCTCACTCCATTCGCGTTTGACATTCCACGCGCCAAAGCATTGGTGACCGGGGTCATTTCGTGCAAAATGGCAGTGCACCGCAACTCGGTACTCGATGTGTTTGCAGAGAAAGGTAATTTTGTTGTAAAAGCACATTGTGTTGTGTTCATGGATAATCAGAGCTTGGAAGGGGCGAGAGCTATACCTCTGATTAGCTGCTATAAGGCGAGGATCTGAATCTACTTACGTGGGAGGCGCTTCTGCAGTATAGCAAGTACAAAGTTGATGGGGGCACGTGGTTTTGATGTATTCGTGACAGGCAGTTGAAGTGCCAAGTCTGATCAAGATGCGGAGAGTGCGGGGAAGCATGAGTATCGTACTTCTGGGGCCATTTGCAACTCTTTATATGCACTCGCCGGGTAGAGTGTTGGACTTTCTCATCTTTGGCCGTGTGAACCAAGAAATATAGTTCAAATTGAGCAGCAGGGAACTGCAGTAGTGGGGCCAAGTTGGAAAGCCCCCTAATTTGATTGCTAATAGAAATCGTGAAAGTATCAGATTGCCTGTCTGATGTCTTTCTTATTCCGTGAGAACGTTAGGATTCACATCGCTGACACACTGGCTCACTGTTCAATATCCTCAACTTCTGCATTTCTTAAGCCCTTTCAGGGTACTATCAGTCTTTAGTCTGAGATGGTGCTGAGCATTCTTGAAGCTATAGTTAGGTATGGGCTGCTGTGTTCTCTCACTGTACACCATCTGAAGAGCACGGCCCTTCTAGATGCATGATTGCACAAAGATAGCTTGTGGCCCATGACGAACGAAAACGGCGACCAGGCGACAAGAAATCGTTCCACAACCACGGAACTTGGCACCTTCTACCGATATATGCGTAGTAAATGTGGAGAAATATTCTTTCTTGGCAGTATGGCAACTGCTGTATTAGTGATCTTGTGGCGTATCTAAGGGGCAAATCTTGGTCGCTTCACAGCGAACCTTCATATTTGATCCATGCCAAGCAATACTCCTAAGCTCTTCTGGAAGGTTCTCAAAAGTAATTACTTGTTTCTTCTATATCGTAGATGGCAAAAGTCTCTGGACTGCAGCCACGCCTTTATCTCTCTAGCTAACAGTGTTACGCACTTTCGAGGCCAGGTAAAATGAAATTTGTTACAAATTTTGTCTACTAAGCGAATTGTTATTCATTCAATTTGAAGCTATACTAAACATTTTCTGAGGGTGTGCAGTGACAGAACAACAGTGCTCAGTGCGTTGGTCCTACGCAACACGTTGTGGGGATCCCTGATGCATCGCAACTCTTTACGCACACCACAAACACGCAATAGATATTTCTGCATTAGTACCCACCAGATTGTAGTGAGAAGTCGACTCAAAAAGCCATCGACTGCATATCGCAATATCCCTTCGGTTCATGCAGAGAAATCAAGTACATAGAAGTATACATTTGCACTGAAGGACTATCACATGTTAGCAGGGTATATATTAACTAACTGGAAGTGCAAGAACCAAAACCTGGGCACTGGCGCTAACAGAAAATAAACAAAGCGTTCTAATACCCCTTCACGTGCAAACTTCCAATAATACATCTGCACCCCCCTCAGACGTAACCACGTTCCAAGTTATCGACCCCGCTCTATCCTATGCAGCACGCCCCAGATACTCGAGGACGTAGCATTCGACCATGCAATCGTCACACGAACTCGATATCTGCTAAGCATCGCCCACGCCCAAGCATGCATGCTTGATGTATCGACTCTCATTTGGGCACGCTTTATCAAACCCAAGCTCATGCGTTAAGTCCACCCCACACATGCATGCCGTACATAACGTGGAGCTACAAACTTCACACATGCCGATGTGTACGTCAAGATAACGCTCGAGGAATCTCAGCAAGCAAGTCCCTCTTTCCACAAAGCTCCGTCACGGCACATGGCGCTTCATACCATCTCGGGCTCGCTTCCTCAATATTGAAAAACCTCATCCCATCACTCTCGGCTTCTTCTGAAGGACCCCAAATTCTCAAACCCCTCACGATACCTTCGGGGAGCTGCATGACTCTCCGCCTCCCACGCCGTTTTTCTTGCCATAGGAACCCCGTTTAGACAGTCACACACCCCATTCCCGATTCAACAGCGGCATTTCTGTGCCCCTCAAGTAGCGTTACTTACACCGCAGAATATCGGCGGGTACCGTAACCTGCATGCGCCCGTGTGACGCGTATGCGGTGGCACGAGAGTAGTTTTGGGTGGCGGGATGCCAATTTGGGGAATAGACAGGATGGGAGCCTCGGTTGGGATGGGTGGCTTTGTGGCGGGTAGGGGGTAGGGGGCTCGGATGTGGTAGGGCAGAGGTGGTCGAGGGGGGTGACGGGGGAGAAGTGTGGTACACATATAGCATGGCTCCATGATGAAGTGCCTGCAATGAAACAAGGACTCGGATCGAATTTCCTACTTTCTGAATTGTGCTTACAGCCGGTAACATGCCTTTGAGTGTTGGTATGTATCGCTCTTGTGGATATTATTAGGGCTGCCTTCAATCAATACCCCTTGGAAGGAGATATAGCTTACCATGCAAATCTTACTAGAATATTCTTTAAGCATGTCAACAGATAATAGCACTCTGAGCTATCCAAAATACAACCCCGTTTTCCATCAACTCCGGTACCAGGAGCCATGATCCATAAAGTCGACACCGATCGATTCCAAGCCAACCCCCAAAGCCCCAGATCAACACAGTACTCGAACCTTCTATCTCCCCAGTCCGTGCACCGGTTCAAGCAAGTTACACCGGTTCAGCCGCTACCAAGCCTTTTCTTCCTCTTCTTCTGCACATGTATGACAAAAGCCCGGGAAGACCCGCCTGGAAGCGTCCCGCCAGCATGCGTGGCGTTTGCTTCGGGGAAGACGGGGAGCGTGTGTAGCGTTCGGGTAGGTACTACGGATAGTGAAAGGAATGCTGAATCGTTTTTTCAGCATTGGAAGCGTGGGGAGGAGAGAGGATGCTTGTTCAGACTCTACTCAAGTGATGGATCTGGAAAGACGAGAATGGTTACGCAGTATAGCACTGGAATTTCCTCTCTTCATCGATTAGTGATATAGAATACGAAAGAAATAAAGCAAGAAAAAACAAGAATACGTGAATGACTCGGCATTTTCAAAATTGAACAGCGTGAGGAACAAACTCGATACATGGATCTAGGCAAACAACACCCCCACCCACAACTTCCATCCCTACCAACTACCGTCCAGAAACAACGAGGCCCATGTATTCTTTTACCGGCCGGTACACCCTTCTCTACCCCCCACGTCCTTCTCCAGAGCCATGACGTTCCCATGCCCTCATCTCCCCCCTTCACGCGGACGTACGTAAATACGGATACGGACCGAGCCACTGCATCGGCAAGACAAGGGACGGGTTCAATATTGGGGAACTGGTACCGAGGCCCAGCAGACGAAAAGCATGGGACGAAATACCGCAAAGCGCGGTGACTGGGATCTTGCATTACATACATACGCGCACCATATAGGGGGGCCTGGACCGTGGGGAGACCATGGTGTAGGTGGTTCCAAAGTGGGGATGCATACGTTGGAACCAATACCTAATTTGCATGTTCTGTTTGATCACTTTACCATGGCCGCGGAAGCAGAATAGCATTGTAATGTGTACAACAGATATTAGGATTTGAGATAGCAATGACTTTTTTTTCTCCATTAAACGTGAACGCCGCCGCTAATGCTATCATGCTTTTATTTTTGGTTACAATCACGCCTTTCCTGATCGCTTGGCCTTGCGAGCTTGCCTCTTCTTTGCAATGATCCTGGTTCTCAGCGCGAGCTTCTCATCACTGCCCTTGTTCTTAGCGGAAGAAGGGCCCGCTTCCGCACCCGAACCCTGTTTCGATTTGTCGGTGGCCTTCCCCTTGCTCTTTTTGTCTCCAGCACTCGAGTCTCGCTTTCGCTTCTTGTCCTTTGTTTTGTCTGGTTGTGAATCGTCCTCGTCAGCCTCACCGCCTGTCTTCGGCTTTCGGGGCTCTCGGGACTTTTCCTCGCGGTCTGTACGTCTGTTGACGACATTGGCGTTCTCGATAGCAAACTCTACAATAAGACGCTTGCGCTTGTCTTCCAGTGCTTCCAGTGCTTGCTTCTTGCTTTTTGGTGTAGGGTCCGCCTTGATCTTGTAGTCCACAGCGTGCCCGTTGAGCCATCGAAGACCCATCAAAGCATTGCGGTGAGTGTAGTACTCGATGAAACCATATCCTCTACTCCTTCCTGCGCCAGCTTCCTCTGGAACTTTGCTACCTGCAGGTGTCTCGAAGACGACCTTGGCTTGCTTGACGATACCTTTGCCCTTCTTCTTACGCATCTTCTCCGCCACCAACATCTCCTGACCGCCACGAATGACTTCCTCCTTGCTGAGTTTTTGTCGCTTACCCTCCTTGACATCAGCAGCGAAGCCAACGACAGCACTACGGGCGAGCTGCTTAAGGTCCTTTGAAGTGATGCTACGGGGGATATTGCGAACCGAGAGACGGGTGAGGGAGAGATGGAGCGAAGGGTTCTCTTGGATCTGCTTGCGACGCATCGTCGCACTCTCCTCGCGCATCTTGATCTCAGAGGGCGAGAGTTTTTGATACAGCGGCGAGTTAGCACTGATGGTTCCTTCTGAGAGGAGATAAAGGCGGCGCTTGTCCTTGTCGCGATTGAAACGCGAAGCTGCGCCCTCGGCTGTGAGACGACTGGCTTCGTTCTTGTCGACGGCGCGGGAGATTTGTAGAATACGGCCGTCAATAGTGTACCTGCCTGTAGGGTCGGCGTCCTCGTCTTCAAGCACGGAATGTGTGACGGTGATGGTGGAGCCGTCCGACTTGTTCAGATCCTTCTTTTGCAACTTGACACGTGGGACACCCTTCAAGCAGTTGACCATGTCTTCCTCGGTGAAGAATGCAACGAATGCAGTGCCCTTTGGCCGCTCGGTATCGCGGTCCACGACAACACGCGCATACCGTATGCCTCCAAACTGTTGAAAGTGTTCCTTCAGACGCTCATCGTCTACAGTGAATGGCACGTTGCGTACAAAGACTGTGTAATCCTCGCGCTTTGGCCGATTGTCTTGTTGATCTAGCTCAACGCCACCTTCCTCGTCATCCTCGGATATGTCTTCGTCGTCGATGTCGCTGTTGTCGGAATCGTCTTCGTCTTCGTCTTCGTCGTCTTCACTGTTCATTTCCGAGTCGTCCTCGTCGTCGTCCTCATCAGAACTGACTACGGAGCTTTCAGCATCCTCCATGTCTTCGTCTCCATCTGCTTTAGCGTCGCCTTCTTGTTCGGTTTTTTGCAGATTCAGCCAAGTGTCACGATCGACAGCCCAATCAACAGCGATGGGCCTGCCGCTGATCTCTTTGCCATTCAGCTCCTGCATTGCCTTCTCTGCGTTCTTCTTTCCTCGTAGAGACACGAAGCCAAATCCTCTCAATTCGCCATTGGGCTTCTTTGGTAGATTTGCAAAATTGACCTTGCCGTAGCTTCTGAAGAGCTTTTCCAAATCCTCCGGTGTCTTGATGGTCCAGGGCAGGTTTCGTACGATGATTTTGGGTACTTGCGCTTCCTTGAGCTGTTGCTCGCGCTCTGCCTTGATCCTGTCGACGGCCCTGGGCCGCTTCTCCTCACCCTCACGCTGCCTGGCCTCGGCGAAATCGACCTTGATCTTCTTGCCTTTGATCTGTGTATTGTTCAATTCCTCCTTTGCTCTTTGCGCATCCTCGACATCGGCGAATGTAACGAAGCCATAGCCCTTGGACTCACGCGTCTGTTTGTCCAACACAACAAGCGCATTCTTGATCGGGTAGGACTCGGAAAAGTACTCGGTCAGGTCTTCGCTGGTGACGTCGGGTGCGAGGCTGCGAACGAAGAGTTGTCTGCGCGCGACTTCCTTTGCCGTCGCTGCAGCTGCGGCATTGCTGGAGGGTTGGTCGGCGTCAGCAGTGGCGGTGACGGCCTCTGCGCCATCGAGTGAGAGGCGCTGGCGTTTTCTACGTGGAGCCATTGTAAAAGAATGTGAATTTCAAGTCTTCTTTGCTTGTACTTTTCATTCGCATGTCCCAGAAAAAAAAGTTCCAGTATCGCGACGCACGGACCTTGGTCTACCATCTTGGCGAACGTAAGGTGGAGCTAGACCCTTTGCGCTGGATGGGGACCGACTACATCTTCACGTGCCACACACCAGACACCCGTTTCTTCTAATTCTCGCCTGCTCCGTCTGACTTTGCTATCCTTCACCGATCAGATTTCAGATTTCCATCATGATCACGATGTGTCCTCCGACTGCGCCCCCTTGGCGGAATCCTGCATGCCCCCCACTCAATCTACAAAGCCTGTAGCGCTGTGTATTGATGTGTGCGTCCTAAAACGACATAGCCGCCTAAACCATCGCGATCTTATAGTGTCATGCGCTTTCTCAAACGCCCATACCGGTTCTTGGCTACGGCAATTGACTACTCGAGACGCACAATGACGTATTGCGTATTTGACTACAATCGGACGCAGCGGGAGACGAAGATAGAGAAGTAACGGCGCAACGTCTTGTAGCACCGAGACGATTGCGCAATCTGCTGCTTTGCCTTTTCAGCTGAAATCGCCGGCTATGTTCCTGGCGATCCACCGCAATCGCACTCTAAATCCCTCTCCAATAACCCACATTTCGATCATCCTTCATAAGGTGCTCCATCGATATCACACATCTCCGATCCGATCTCTTGTCAGCCTCCTCGGAATGAAACCTACCATGTCTCACGTCTATTGGCAGCAGGCAGAACCGTTGGGCCCTTTGATCTACCGAATGCGCACCGGTACCCGTTAGCGTCTCGTACCCAACGTCTGCACAATCGCCATGGGTGTAACTCCTTTGACAATTAGACACTCAAACTATGTTGCTCGCGCAATCAGTGTTGCTTATCTGCATCGCTTAGCTACTACCACCCTCACCCTAGTCTGGCGGCACAGCGGAGCCTGGTACCGTCCTTTGTAAGCCCACAATACACATACAAGAGGGTAGCCGCCAAAAATATGACAGTCTTCCAGATTGCCATCTTTGAAGTGCCTGAACTGATATCCAACCATGCCGCAAAGAAGCCATGAAGCCAGTGAAAGTGAGGCGCTCTTAAGTCCTCGTATCACCATTGCTTCCTCTTCCTCCTTCTCTTCCTACTCCACACTTGATAGCACGGATTCTCTTGGAACGCCACAAATAGAAAGAGGGCTCTCAGACGCTGGCAAAGAAAAGTTAGATGTTCTCAGTCGACCCAGTGACTTGGAAAGACCGAGCTCTTCGGCTGAAGAGCTGGGAAACACTGGCGTCTCACTCTATGAGAAGAAGTGTGAGCTGATCAATAATGAGATTGATCTCATGGGTATGGGGCGTTACCAGTGGTCGATATGGGCCTTGTGTGGCTTCGGGTACATGATCGATCTCATGTGGGCACAAGCGTTTGGTCTAGTTTTGTCTCCAATACAGCAGGAGTTTGGGTTTGGAGCTGACGAGACCGGCAAACTCTCCACCGCCTTCTCAGTCGGACTTACATCTGGCGCCTTCGTCTGGGGCGTACTAGTAGATGTGATTGGACGGAAGTCTTCTTTCAACCTGACCGTCTTCGTGGCTTGTGTTTTTGGGACTTGCATCGGCATCCCTAGCACCTACAATACCATCCTGGTCCTTACGGCTCTTACTGGATTCGGCATCGGAGGCAACATTCCCATCGATACGACTATTACGCTAGAAGCCACCCCACAGAACAAGCGTTACCTTCTTCCTCTTCTCTCCATCTTCCAGCCGATCGGCGTCGTTATATGCTCAGTCTTAGCTTACGGCTATATTCCAAACTGGTCCTGCAGTCCAAACTTCTCAGAAGGTGACCGTGCACTCCCTGCTTGCACCGCTGTCGGCCTAGGAGAAGCGTGTTGCTTAAAACAGGATAACATGGGATGGCGATACCTACTGTTCACGCTAGGCGGTGTCACAATATTGGTGTTTGTTCTACGCTCAGTGCTCTTCGACTTCCAAGAGTCGCCCAAGTTCCTCATATACCGCGGCAAAGACGCCGAGGCTGTCAGTGTGCTACACAAGATAGCTGAGTACAACAAGACTAAATGCACTTTAACCCTAGGAGACCTGGAGGTCCTGGAGCATGCGTTCGAATCCAATCGAGGCACTACACCTATACTTGGAAGTGGCGTTAAGCAACTTAAATCTACGTGGACTGAGAAGGTCAAGTTGGAAGGCGATCGTTTCAAGATCCTCTTCTCAAGCACCCAGATGACAAGATTGACCTTGCTCGTCTGGCTGACATATATCTGCGATTACTGGGGTTTTACTGTCGCTGGTACGTAACTACAACACAACCATGTACATTCGAAATTACGTCGCTAATTTCACATCAGGAACCTACCTTCCACAAATTCTGGCTGTGAAGAATGGTGCTCTGGACCTATCCCTTCGTTATACGTACCGATCATACATCTTCATCTACCTTCCTGGAGTCTTTGGAGTAGTACTTGGAACTCTGTCTTACCGCGCGTCGCGAGTAGGACGCAAGTGGACCATGGTAGTCTCGTCAGCCCTCATGGGCATCTCCATCTTTCTCTTCAGCAGCGTCAACTCGGCGGCATCCAACATAGGCTTCAACATCATGGAATACTTCTTCCAGTCTATGTTTAACTCGGTGCTGTACGGATGGACGCCGGAAGCTTTCCCAGCGCCCATCCGGGGCACCGCGTGTGGAATTGCAAGCTTCTGGGGCAGACTTTTCGGTATCATTAGTCCACTGATTGCACAGCACTTGTATGCTGGTGGAGGAGCAGGGAGGGATATCAATAGTGTTCTGTATCTGGCTGGAGGTGTGACATTGGGCTGTGTCATTACTACCGCACTGCTGCCCAGTAATCTTGTAGGTAGGCAAAGCCTATAGAGACAAGGCATGAATTTGGGACGGGAAGCTTACAAGGACAACGTGGCAACGTTTTGTGAATGCTGTGGTCGAGTCAGATTGCTAGAGATACCCACTACGCCATAGAGCAGATGTTTTTGTTCGAGAACAAACACGGAGCTTGAATAGTGCTATTAGAAGTCTGCAAGCCAATGATAATATCGTCGAGGTAGATTTTACCAGCTTGCTATGCATGTAAAACATTACCCCTCTTCGAAAAGAACCCGGATCAGTCGCTCAATACACCACAACGCCGTCCAAATGCACGCAGTTTAGTCGCATCTACCGTTACAACTTCGTCCTGCCCGGTGTCTCTACTCTCCTCTGCTCCATGATGTACCCGCTTGCCACCGGATTACAGCCTTGACTCGCAACTTGTGGTAGAGGAAACGGAGGCTTCTTCAGGTTCTGAGTGAAGAAGACTGGATGCCGTACTGCGCTGTCGTATATGGGCGTGAAGAAGGATGCGGGTGTTTGCGGAGGACCAAAAGGCGGCATGGCTTCGACTTGCGAACGCGGCTTTGGAGGGTTCAGAGGGAGGCCTGAGGGCTGCGATATGTTTTGCTGTGAGGAATGGGCAGCACGTCGTTGTTGTTGCGCGTACGCTGGCTGTGGGGACTGCTGTGGAGGCTATGTCGTGTGAGTAGGTAGGTAGGAGGAATAACTCGTCCTAACTGAGACAGAGCAACTTACCTTTGGTCTAGACGGCTGCAAGCTAGGAAGCATCGTTGCAGGCTTGTATACATGCAATACCCAACAAAGCGACAGGAGTGAATGGCCTCTACAGCGAAACGTGACCGCAACTTCGTTACCGCGTACCTCGGCATAAGATTGTAGCGAACGTCATCCCAACCTCAGTCGCGGAATCGGACGCTTCTCCGCTACTACCGCACGCCGAACATCGCTCCACGCCAAATCATCAAAACATGATGAATTCACCATCACCAACACTGATTTCGACATGCAAAGGACGCCAGCACTATTCCTGGCGGCAACAAGATGTGCGAGACTCCACACTTCACGGAAACTATACTCGAACCCGCCTATTGTGAAGATTGACAGCGGCACCTTTTACCGTCACCATCCTTCTTCGAAACTCAATCATGGAGGTGCAACTACGGATTCACCTTTGTTCCCCGGCCTAACGATTTCCCTACCTTCCTCCTCAACGCCAAACCAGCATTGGGCCATCCTAAGCCCATCATCAGATATCCGAACAGCATTCTTACAGATTCTCCGTGGCCAATTGCTCTGTTTCCCACCTACAGCACGTTCATTTCCCCACCTCCTCAGCCCCGCTATTACAGAAGGTAAACCGCATCTCCGCTTCCCTGAGCGCGCAATTGAATATGTCGGCTTCGACGTCGAGCGCAAAGCTTTCGGCGGCGCGTACCTATCCGCACGGTACGAGTCGCTGAAGGAAGAAACGGATTTCACCGTCCAGCGCTATCTAACGGGTATTGTGACGATGAATCCTGGGGAAGAGGAACTTAAGGCTAAGAGTATCCGGAAAGAGGATATGGAGAAGGTGATGCGGGATTTGGAGTTGGAAAGGTTCATTGAAAAGCCAGTCAGTATGCTGAGTAATGGGCAGTCGAGAAGAGCGAGGATTGCGAAGGCATTGTTGAGTGGGCCTGAGATGTTGTGTTTGGATGCGCCATTTAGTAAGTCTAGCTTTGTAGTGGAGTTTGTAAGAAGATTAGCTAATGACAGGGTGAAGTTGGTTTGGATCCGATTGTCACGAAGCATATTTCTGCTGTTTTGCATCGCTTGGCTGAGGCAAATGCTCCACGTATCGTGCTTAGTTTGAGGCCTCAGGACGATATTCCGGAGTGGGTTACGCATCTTGTGTATGCGGGTGAGGATGGGGTAGTCGGGCGGTTGGGGCCTAAAGAAGAAGTCTTGAGGTTTTTGAAAGAGGAGTATAGATCTATCCAGGAAAGCGGTACTACCAAGACAAAAGGCTCGAACACAAAAGAGGTCCAGGAAGTAGGTCGACTTCTATCCGAAAAAGACCCAAGGACCACAACAGTGTCACTACCTGTCTTAAGTCGGGACGGCTACGAAAAAATCGACAAATCCACCCCGTCCCCAGGCGACCCTCTCGTCGAAATGAACGGTGTCGGCATCTCCTACGGCGCAAATTCCGTCCTAGGAGACTGGTATCAGCCCGACTCGCCCTCCTCCAGCACTCCTGGCCTCCACTGGACCGTCAACCGCGGATCTCGCTGGGGTATCTTCGGCGCCAATGGCTCCGGCAAAACCACTCTACTCAGCCTTGTAACATCCGACCACCCACAAACCTACTCCGCCCCCATCAAACTCTTCCAGCGCTCGCGCCTCCCCTCTCCAGGCGTCCCTGGCATATCCATCTTCGAGATCCAAGCGCGGATGGGACATGCGAGTCCAGAAGTGCACGCGCTGTTTCCCAAGCGACTAAGTGTGAGGGAGGCGCTGGAGAGTGCGTGGAGTGAGACGCCGATTTCACGACCGAAGTTCGATGACGGGGCAGAGAGGAAAGTCGAGGCGGCTTTGAAGTGGTTTGAGCATGAGATTCGACCGAGTTTCCAAGGCCAGAAGGAGAGTGACGGGGGCCTTGAATGGGCGAAGCAGACGTTGTTTGGTGAGATTTCGTTTTCCGCTCAACGTGTCATCTTGTTTCTGCGGGCTATGATTCGGAATCCTGATATTGTGATTTTGGATGAGGCGTTTAGTGGCATGGATGATGCGGTGAGGGATAAGTGTTTGCTGTTTCTTAGTTGGGGGGAGGGCAGGGAGGTGGATGAGGGGGGTAGGGTTGTGGAAACGGAGGGAGAGGATGGGGTGGTGAAGGGGTTGCAGGAGCATCAGGCGTTGCTTTGTGTTAGTCATAGTAAGATGGAGGTGCCTGGGTGTGTGAGGGAGTGGGTTTGCCTGCCTGAGCCTGGCACGGGACCACCGAGATTTGGGAGGTTTGATGGGCCGATTGAGTTGGATGAGGGACGTTGGAAGGAGGTATGGGGGGAGTTTTAGGTGGCTTTTCGCATTCGATATATTGAACATCCTATGCTTTGACCTACACTTTCTCTTCATCATGCTTCACATCCTTCTCCACACCCATTTTCTGCGCCTTCTCCAAAATCTCCCCCGCCAACCTCTCAAGATAAAACCTCGACACGTCCCCTGGTATATCCTTGAATGCCCTCACAATCTTCTCCACATCCCTCCTCCCATTTTCGTACGCCTGTAGATCCCTGTTGCCATAGACATCCTTGCCCGCCGCATATCCCTTATCCAGACCCCTCCAAAATACATTTACCGCTACACTAACGCCGTCCTCAGGCGTCGCCGTGTGACTCCACATGGGGGGAATGAATAGGATGTCCCCAGGCGCGAGAGATGCTACGTGCGGGTGCGTACGACGTAGCTTGTGGTTTTTGGACGTCAGGACATCGGTGTTTGACGAGGAGCCTCCTGGTGGGAAGTCCAAGAGGGAGACATCAGAGGGTGGGTAAAGAAACAGTGTCTTTTTGCCGTGGACTTGGCATAGGATGTTGGATAGGACATCGTAGTGTAGCCATAGAGTCACTGGGCCTGAGATGCGGAGTGGGGAGCTGTGATAGTTTTCCTTGACTACGTCACACACATCTGGGATTCTAAAGTCATTAGAAATGGAAGGGAAGTCTTCTTCGAGTTTTGTAGGCAGCTTGTTTGGCTGGCTTGATGACACAGCACGCAGGTATTCATGGGAGCCTTTTGCAATGCCGTCGAGGAAGTCTGCGGTGGATTTCTTCACGTAGGAGAAGTTCTTGTCCTTGAACGTCATCCGATCGGATGAACACTCGTGGACTACGATTTCCCTTTCTGGACCAATTTTCTCTTTCAGGTAGTCCAGAGTCCAAAGGTCTGTGCACGGGCCAATGTCAAGACCGGTGATGATGGCAGGCTTTGAGGAGGCAACGAGTCTCGCAAAGTCATCTGACGAACTGACCTGGGACCTCTGGATATCGGCCGTACGTGCCACCATCACAGGCCTCTTTTTCACACTTGCCTTCTCTCGACGACCATCACGTCTTGTTTCAGCTGCATTCGCTTGTCCTGTGCCTTTTGTGCCTGCTGTGCCGCTGCCAGCCTGACTCGGCCCAACACAACGCCACGACTTGGCCCCTTGCGTAGCGCCAGGGAGGATGGAAATCGGATCTTGGTTCCAGTAGCTGCCCATCGAGAAGCATACCGCTCCTCCTCCTGCAAGCACAATCTCGTCTCGAGAGGATGAAACGGCTCCTACACCCACTAGCAAAGGCCACGACATGTGGGGCGCGACGTGCATGCTGGGACGCTCCACTTGAATGATCGTGTCCTTGCATGTCAAGAGCAGAAAGTCGTCTGATAGACTGTGGATATGTTTCTTCGAAACACCTCCAATCATCAACAGAGCATCGTTCCAGGGGACTAGGACAGAGCCTATACGCGCGTGTGCAGAATTTGTCAGGCTACTGCGCACGTCATTGGTGCGGTCCTTGAAGCTCACTCGTGGTGTTGGTGTGGCGGAAATGGACCACTCCCATAAGGCGTCGTCGACAACCACGCCGCTCTCGTTGCCGCCTCCTGTGAGCAGCCCGCAGTTTCTGGCTGAATTGATCGTACACGTTGCGGCACCAAAACGTGGAGACGGGTGCGGTCCGTCGACGGAAATGCTGTGCCAGCCGGTGTTGGCAGTCCACAGAGCACAGTAGTCATTGGCGTCAAGTACTGTGCCGTCACTGGCTTTGCCACCAAATACTAACACTCCATGCGTATATGTCTCACCAGATCCTAGTTGAACAGCAACCGCTGAGTGACGATAACGAGCTGGCGCGAGATCATCTACTTTGGTCCAAGTTCCATGTTTGAAGAGCCAGCAATCTGCGCATGCTTGGGTGGGCGACCCACGTCCTCCGACCAACAACGCCTCACCATCTTGCATCGATGTGATTGTATGGCACATACGTGCAGTAGGTAGCAGATTACCAGGTTGAACGGCACGATCCTGGTCAGAATCATCTTGTCCCAGCATGTCCATATCGGCGAGACGGGTCTGCGTTCCCTGTCCTCCATGAAGGGCCACTGTATCCTTGTCCAGTGCGAAAGCCGCCGGGAAACGGCGTGGCGTCAAGGTAGTATCATTGTGCTGCTTCCAACAATGCAGGGTAATACTTCCCGCGTCGGTGCCATTCGCACTCTCCCTAGTGGTTGTCTCCTCGTGGATCGGCTCATTTGACCCCTGTGTCTCCATGTTGGATGCGACAAGCAGGAAATAATGGCTGCCGAATAGCGCGAATTCCTCCCACTCATCAAAGGGCTCAGTGGCATTGATCGTGCGTCTGAGGCTAGGAGGGGTAAACGAATCATCGGACCAGAGGTCCCACAGATTACGAGCCATGACAAGCGTTGGCCAACCGGCGTTGCGGAATCGAGCTGCTTGTTGATCCAGTGATGAATGTAGCTTAACCGCTTTGATTGACGCCTGTAATTTGTCAAAGTGAGAGAGCATAGTTTTAGCGAAGGGGTGTTCTGGGCCCTGAGGAAGATACTGTTCTAGACGGCATTAAGTCAGTGCGGGACGGGGTGTATACAGATATGCAGGATCTTGTTTTACCTAGTATACAGAAGCGGGCTACGATGGTCAGTAATTTCCTTCAATTGGGTCTTCGAGCCGACATACCGTCTCCGATGGTGCTGGCCCACTGTATCAATGCATCAGAGTCCTTGAGCGGCATGTAAGTCACAGACACTTCGGCGACGAATAAAATCGTGGTTGCCGAAATATCAAACTCGGCTCGAAGAACTCTTTCGAGTGTTGCAAGATCTTTGAGGTCGCAGCCTAGTGCCATATAGCCGTCACTGCGGAGAAGTATAGGCTGCTCGGTCTGACGGAGCTTGGTCTTCAGCAGGGCGTTTCGAAGGAGGTCATTGCTTAGCATGCGGTCCCGCTTCTTCTCCATCAATTGCGGATAGTCAACATCCACAAAGGTAGCCGATTGTGCGAGAGAAGGATACCTGTGCCAGAACTGGAAGGGCAAGGGATCACTCCTAGGAGTCAGTGCCGTCTGAAGTAAGACAAGCTGATGCCGAATATCTTACTCACTATCCACATCCAAGATTCACAACGACTTTTGACTTTCCATTCTCTTCTTTCAGAAAGCGATGGACTGCCTGCTCAATGGCGTGCATTCGCAGCCAGTAGCCGCGGTTGATGAGTGGGTCTTTTTTTTTGACGTGGTCAGTATGCTGAAAACACCATCAGAGTGAGCCACATACTGCGACGAACAAATTTTGGCACGAATGGCTCATAAAAGTCTGGTTCATGACTGAGATATAGTTTGGAAACGCTTCTCTTGGATACAATGCTACTATCATTTGTCTAGGGCTATGTCAGTCCCGTGACAGTGGAAAAGATGGCGGTGGTGAAGATGGTGGACGCCTCACATTCATAATATCAATATCCCTTCTTTCACGCAGAGATTTCTGATTGCCCTTACGTTTGGCAGGGCCCTTTTTGGGCCGCGCACCGGTATCTGTCACCATGTCTGGGGTTGGGGTTGCTCGTAATGTGGAGGGATGGTTACTGAGAAGAGTAATGTTTTTGCTGGGCTGGTGCCTCAGCCACAACGTGGGGCTGAGGCTGACGTCGGGATCCCTGCATGCGCGTGAACCATGGCCGGCAGGTGGGAAGCAGCTACATACAAGTTGTAAATAGTCTCTAGGCATCTCCTCCTGCGGATTCCAACCTCCATACCGGCATATCAGCTACTTCATCGCCATCGCTTCAGCACACGAGGATATTTTACACGTCGCCTACAGGGCTGACCGCTCACAAACGGCTGCCCCAAGCTCCACTTGGCTGTCACCTGGGTAGCTCACAGCTATTACAGCTACAGCGACAACTACTTTCACACAGCGTCTACAACACTGAGAGCGGTAAATCCGGAATCTCTCTGCAGCCATGAACTTTGTTACATTCAACCAGGATCACAGCCACCTGGGCGTTGGTATGTCGTGTGCACACCTGTGGCGGCACCGAAACTGACGTAGTTACTCACCAGGCACCACAAATGGGTACCGCATATACACGACGGACCCGTTTAACAAGCAGTCCGAGTCGCGCGAAGGAGATGTTTCCAGCCTTGAGATGCTCTTCTCGACGTCGCTAGTTGCGCTCACATTGTCGCCCCGAGTGCTACGGATACAAAACACAAAGGTTTGTTGCATGGCAACCTGCGCTGTCCTGGCTAGACACTGACAAGGCCAAGAGACACTCCACGATATGCGAAATGACCTTTAGGACGGCTATCCTCGCTATGCGCATGAACAGGAAGCGCCTAATTGTCGTCCTGGAATCAGAGCTCTACATCTACGACATAAGCAACATGCAGATGCTCAAGACCGAGAAGACGTCGCCGAACCCCAACGGTAAGACGGCCCAGCCAAATGATTCACAGTCGCTAATATGTGTAGCCATATGCGCCCTCTCTGCGTCGTCAGAAAACAACTACCTTGTGTTCCCACTGCCCACCAAAGCCGCACCTGCCACCTTCCAACCACCCTCACATGCGCCACCCAAGACTGATCACATCGCGCCTACAAGTGGAGAGGTATTGATATATGATGCGACCAAGATGGAAGCAGTCAATGTCATAGAAGCGCACAACTCTCCGCTGTCGTGCATCGCGCTCAACAGCGATGGTACCCTGCTCGCGACAGCATCGGAAAAGGGCACTATTATTCGCGTTTTCTCGATTCCAGATGCGCAGAAACTATACCAGTTCAGAAGAGGCTCCATACCAGCGAGGATATACAGCATGTCGTTCAACTCGGCTTCAACACTATTGAGCGTCTCCTCGGCAACGGAGACGGTGCATATCTTCCGTCTGGGTGCGCCCAATAGCAGGAGTAATAGCGTGTCTTCGGGACCTACGCGACCGGGGGGTTCTGCCCATCAGCGAAATAGTAGTCTAGCAAGCGAAGAGGCGTCTGATGAATTCGGTGCTAGTACAGCAGACATGGCGCCTCCAGAACGGAAAGCACTCAACCCCACTTTTGGAAGCTTGATACGCCGCACATCCCAAACGGTCGGAAAGTCATTCGCTGCTACTGTGGGAGGATACCTGCCCAACGCAGTAGCGGAGATTTGGGAACCGTCGCGCGACTTTGCCTGGGTCAAGATACCGCGTTCACCCAACAGCTCGTCGTCGGGCCCCGTAAGGAATGTAGTTGCACTCAACAACAATGGGCCTCAGATCATGGTTGTCACTAGCGAAGGCAACTACTACGTCTTCAACGTCGACCTCGAAAAGGGAGGCGAGGGCACTCTGTACAAGCAATACTCGTAAGATACATGTTTGCTTTTTCTTGATTGACTTTTGCTAATGTCGACAGTCTTCTCGAACCGAACGAGCTTGCAGCAAGCAACTCTCAAGACCTACCGGAATAGGCTTCCCGCTTTATGGATTTTCTGATCTGATTTGTGAATGTGTTCGTGGCGTCTTGGTGCATTGCCTATGGCGTTTGGTGGTCTCGTATTATTCCCCGTGGACTGGCGTATCCTTGTCTTTGGTCGTGCCATAGCTCACACTGACGTACTGGCGCATACTTTGCAGCTTTGTTGTACAGCAATACATGTATTCCTGTTTGTGCGCAACGCTCTGTACCTTTGGTGATGTCATTGAATGTTCTATCTAGAAGCTGATTGAGCTATGCTGCAGCATCATGCATGAACAGATATCGTGAGTATGAGGTGCGGCGATGCAACTGCAGCAGGCCCGCAGCGGGCGTGATTAGCGCAGCCCCAGACCCCGCCCCTGCGTCATTGGCTCTCTTTTGACAGCTCCAGCTCCCAACTCCGCTGCCTGATCGGGAACCATACTTGAACCTTGACAACCACCATTTCTTTTAATCACCCCACACATCCCCTCTCTCCGTCTTTCTCCTACTACGAAATAAACCCTACACAATTTTACCAACTGCAGCAAACATCAAACACCCGAAACATGGTCCAAACAAACACAACGGGCAACCCGCTCAGCGCGGGTTCGCTCGCCTTGTTCATGGCCACTTCGCTACCTAAAGGACAGGCATCACAGCTCAAGAACGGAACAGAGGCCATCGCATTGGCGGTTCACGCCGGCATGCTTGCCGTCGGTTTTCGTCTTATTGGACTGGGCGAAGATGAGCGCATAGGTAAGTACTCATGTCCTCTACTTGTCTGATTACCCATCATAACTTAGATGCTCACAGAAGCGCATGCAGACGCCGAAGACCCAAAAGAACTACCTGCACAATGGAACACTTCCTCTTCGTACGCATTTCGATATGCACACGCACAGTCAGCTATGGAGTTTCTTGTCAAGGTCAACAGATTGGGAGGCAAGGCCGTTGTCTTCGCCCTGGCCGTGGGCGACGACAAGACGACACATTTCGAGCTCACCACAAAAGACTACCTGTCCGAATCACAATTACCCTTCAGCGTTCCGGAAGGAACTTCCATAGAGGATGCATCACAAAAATTGCAAGATCTCTTCATCTCGGCCGGCCGGCTGAACGATCTTGGCTCGCTGCTCAAAATTTCTGTGATCCAGAAGCTGGCGCCACGTTTGAACAAGCCCGGCTATGAGGAAAGCACAACAGATCAGGATCGCACACCTACAGCAGACCGACAGGATCCCCAACGAAGTGATCCTCCTAATCCACGGCAGCCACCGGCTGATCCTGACCCCGCGCGACCCCACCCATTCAATGATCCCCTTGCCGCTCCACCACGGTCCGGCCGACATCTGCCTGAACCCATACCCGGCTTCGACGATGAACTGGACGTGAACCGTGGGCCAGGCCGTCTCCAAGATAATCGGAATCCCATCAACATTGGTCATGACGACTTGTATCCACAAGGACTCGGGCCTAACGATCCTCTACGGCCACATCTAGCAGGCGGCCTACCAAGACCAGGTGGTTTTGGTGGCGGTGGTATGCACCCTACGTTCGACGATCCGCTGTTTCGTGGTCAAGGTGGACAAGGCGGCTACGATCCAATGGCTCCTCCGGGTGCACGATACGATACGTTTGGACCCGGAGATCCGAGAGCAGAGGATAGAGGACGAGTCCCCCGCTTTCCCGGTGGAGGAGGTGGTGGTTTCGGCGGACCTGGAGGTTTCGGCGGCCGGCCACCAAATCCATTTGGAGGCTTTGGGGATGGCGATTTTATCTAAGCATGTAAATGTTAGCGGATGTTAAAACCATTTGACGGGATGACAGATGTTAACGATACGAGGAAAAGTCTGCAAGTAACGAATCTTATGACGGCAGACTACAAGTACGGCTGATGACGCGCGTGCGGCACAGTTGGAGCTCCAGTGCCCTGACATGACCATCTGCATCGGCCGAGGCACCACATTTGCAGATCAACCCAGCCTATGTAGCAACATTGTACTACAATCAATCTCATCTCCTGATGCGTAATTACACGCAGAACCTGTGCTTCTTTTCTCCATACCTGCAAGTTCCGCCCCTGTTTACCTACCCAGGATGTGTGCAGCAAAACCCCATAGCCACCCCCCCCCCCCCCATTACAGAAAAGCAAGAACCCCCACTGCTCCCCCATCCTCACCCAGCCACAATCTTTCCAATCAGATGCTCACAAGCAAACCTACCACAGAACGCAACAATGACACTTGTACCAAATATCGCTTACTGTCCCATTTTCTTTGCCCCTTGCCTGAAGCTACAGCACGGCGTACGTGACAAATCCACAAAGAACCGGGCGTTGTGTTTCACATCATGTCCCCCCCCCCCCCCCCCCAAAAAAAATTGCATTGCAAAAAGTAGGCTGTGTAGAGCAACGTATGTAGGTAAACGCTTGGCTTGGGCCCTTTTTTTTTCTCTCTCTCTTGCATATGTATTTTCTATTCTGAAGCTAGGTCGAAGTGGGGTGGGGGGAAGGAGTGAGGCTTAGACTTTCAAGGCAGAATGAGCTTGAATTAGGTATTGCTGTGTTATGTATGTATTCGTCTTATCATTATTAAGTCTATGTGTGTGTGTGTGTGTGTATGGAGGTTATCTTTAGTACTGAGTTGCATTTGTGGTGGAACAGGTGGTTTTTTTCTTCTTTTAGCATGGTAAGTATTGCGGGTAGAGACTGTGAAGAGTGGTGTCTAAGAGTACACACACGCCTGGGTCGATTCCGTCTATTCTGCATGTAGACTGAGGATCGAATGACGCATTTTTTTTGGCAGGATCACTGGGGAACAGGTGCATGTGGATAAGGAATCTCGGGATTCGCTTCCGTATACTGATCTTGGAAGGTCGAGTGGTGCACTGGTGCACTGTGGCACTGTGTGTGTGTGTGTGTGTGTGTGTGTGTGTGTGTGTGTGTGTGTGTGTGTGTGGGGTGGGGTGTTTCGCGATTGCGAAGCTGGAATGAACGTGCTTTCTTTGAGGGGAGGGGGAGACGAATTTGGGAAATATTGGGGACAATTTCACGCACGTTGGCAGCGCGAGTACAAACGCTCGCGGTAAGAGGTAGGTGACAGACTCCTTCTAGTCACCAAGGGGGACCGGGGGGATGAACAACGGGCTGGGGCGTGTGTGGGCAGTAAGGACAAGTATCGACATCCCACGTATGCAGCTGGCTGACCACTCCTCCCGCTTGTTGACTTAGTCTCCTCCACTTCGTTATACTCCTACTGAGAAAGTTACCAGTAGAATCATGCGGTGTGGCGCGCTGCTAGGCAGTCCTTTCCGCCAAGCAGCCGCCCATGAGCCTGTTGTTCTTGTCGAGTCATCCTAGTTTTTTTTTCGTGGTGCTCGTCTCAGCCCAGGTTGTGGTGCCTTGACAGGAGATGTGGGAGGATGGTGAATTTACCAGGCAGTTGGGTCGAACACGGCTCGCATATTCTTCGGTTCCAAAGGGTTGCCCTTTGGCAGCAGTTGTGGCGAGACGGACCCGAGGAGCATTCGTCATATACTACCGGTGGCTCAAGACACCGGGTGGGAAAGAAAGAAAAGAGCGACTCGGTTCATGACATTGACTACTGTTTTTTCTGGGACCTCTAGTATCGGCGTCCTTGGTGGGTGCGTGTGAAAGTCTTGTGTTACACCAGACCGTGCTGTTGGCAAGGGGGGGGGGGGCACATGTGGGGGGAGGAGCGAGAGTAAAAAAACGCGCTTGCACGGCGCTTCTACCTAGGCGCGGAAGGGCGGGATGCAAGGCGACCGAACGACAATCCTTATCGTATCGGATTTGTGCCTTCCTGAATGATCGGTGCAAAAATTCGTCCACCACTCCCGCGCAAGACTTTTGTTGCCTCACTTTTCTGCCGTGTAATAGCCGCATCCATGGAGCAGGCACTGTAGTTCTCCTTCCCGTAGCATCCCCAGCATATGTTCCCTCTTTTTTTTAAACCCTAAATGACAAACTCGTGTCATCCTACACGTCCCATCCCGGTTGACTAATCCATTGATAGGTTGGATGGCGGTACCGGTACACGAAGTCCAAGGAACATGCCCCCACCGGACATGAATTAATCCGGTCAACCGCAAGTAGTAGATATGTCGACAATGGTGTGTTTACCGGATGCATACAGCCTTGCGTGCCTTGGGGCGCTTGAAGAATAGGAAAAAATCCCGGGTGCCGGCATACCCTTCGCATGGCCTTGCCTTCCGCGAGCCGTTGTCTTGCACACGAGGAGACTCTCGCAGGCACACACGCTTAGGAGAGGAATTTTGCCGCCATTTGCACCAACAGTAACGGCGCAATGGGCATGCCGATTGCCTAAAAGAGCGAATATCCACTCAAGCATGCGGCCTCATTTATGCAATTATCCCTCTTTTCATACCCCTTGCAAGTGATTTTAGGGGCCGAACACAGAGCTATCGTTCATCCCGTTGGCCGCAGTGCCGATCGACAGGCGCCGGGCGCTTAATCAATGGCCACAAAGAGACAAAGTACTCCACTCTTAGTGACGATATCTATATGCATGGTGAAGTGTTAAGGGTTTCTGGGTCCAGGCTGTTGATATGCGCCGTGCATGAGGTTTTCTGTCGCAAATTTGCTGTTGTTTCCGTTTGGCCATGTTTCTGAATTCAGCATATTGGGCCTGATTGCCGTGACTTTGTTGTCAGCGGCCATTGCCTATAGGCTAGACTAGGGAGCTGATCAACGTTTTGTGCAAACACTTTCTTTCCGGACTTGTGAACGAACGCCCGTCGGCACACTACTGGACCAAGGGCTTACATGTGATAGCTATGGACTTGTCAGACATACAGGTGGTTGCATGCCACACAGTCGATACCAGTACAGTGGACAGTGTGTCATTGTATGTGGTTGCAGCACACGATGTGGGCATACATTGCAGGCTGGACCTTGATGTCTTGCTTGTTATTTGTGTTTCGGGAGCTCGTACGATGATGGGTCAGGGAATCAGGGGGGATGCTTCCCCGCAAGCGAGATGAAGAGGATCTAGTTCTCTCCCCGCGGAGCGCAAAACCCATCCTCCATCTACGCTCTGTCCGCGTTCATGCCAAAGTCGCTTGACACGATCGTGCGTTTTCGCCGCGTAATAAGACCAAGCTGAAGATCTCGGGGAAACAGCCGGTTGTAGCAAGCAAGATGGTTGCGGGATATGCCAATTACCGGCCCGATCTGGCCGTGCCACAACGTTGCGATCTTAGCAGGAGAAAGGGGGCCGGGGGGCATTCATGGCGTAACGCCATCAGCTTGACTTTCTTTTTTGTCCGTGTGATGGTCGACCTGAGTGGCTCGAATGCCGACGCCATTACGTGTATTTGACGGGTTAACCGCAAAAGTGCCGAAGCTTGGTTGAAGAGGTATCAAGCGCCAAGAGCTTTGTCTGTTTGAAGACAGGCTCCGGGCTGCGAACACGCCGAGGCCGGTTATGACAGGCGATTGAGGATGCTGTCAGCGTAATTCCTGTTCAGAGTCAAACTTGGTTGTTCGGCGTTAGCAATAAAACATCCGTTTGCCGATAGGCTGGGGAATAGGACCGACTGCGCTTGTACCAGTATTTGTCGCGCCAGACTAGGCCATGCAAACACAACAGGTACATACATACTATGTACACACTAGACATATGGACGTATTTCTGGTCCGAGGAATGCGGAGTGAGGTTGCGCAACAGCCTCGCCTGGCAAATGTGTGCAGGTCAGCTTGGGGACAAAAGCTAACCGTGTAGAGGATGCAGTTCGCCGCCTTCCTGTTCCATCGTGGGTGGTATTTTGCCAAGGCGCCGCACTGGGTTAGTGCGGTAAGCGTTCCCAGCTCCCGGATTTTTGGGTGGGTTTCCTGCATATTCCCAAGGTCTGTGATTCCACATGGACGCTGCTCGGCCCACGTCTGCTTCTGGAGAATGGTCCATACACGCGCTCAGTCATATCATTGGCCGGGGAAGCCGACAGCCGTGTCCGCAAATAGTGGGCCAGCCCTAGGGCATTCGAACGATTGGCTCGGCCGGGCTGACGTGATGGGCGTTACCCTGATAATCATCAAGCGAAACCGGGAATATACTCCATTATTCTCCGTTCTGATGCCTGGGGGACTAGTCACGCTCGACATCATCATCGTCATTGTCATTATCATTAAAGAAGAACACGAAGTCCGCGTCTCTTTGTTTTTTTTAGCGCGTCGTATGGACGTACTTGGATATGTCCATTCGCAAAGTCACCGACTTTTCGTAGCGAAAACCGTAACTAGTGGCCTGCCCCGTGAGTCAAAGGATCGCGCATCGCAAGGGAGGGAACCCAGGTGGCTGCTTCGCTAGCTTCGCAAGGCTCTGTTGTGGATTCCCTCACTAGACGTATCGTCTCGGCACTAAGAACCCCAAGTCGAAAAGTGGGTGGAACGCCTAAATTATGAGTAGCTGTGACTCTGCGCAGCTTCAACCCTGTTGCCTGCACCGGTCAACCTAATGTGAATGCATGGCGTGGTACTATAATACCTTCCTTCTGTACGATTATCTGGGCTCAAGAAAAAACCCGTGTTATCGTCCATGGCACAAGTGCGCGGCAGCAGGGCAGTTGCCATGCGACGTTGGTTTTAGCAGTGTTGTACGTGGCTCTAGCGAGGCGGCGTCTATCGCGGAGGCACACGCGCGGCGATGCGCTTCGCTAGTAAGGATTCAGCGGCTCGCGCGGGTGGCGGAAGCATCGCGGCTGTTGCAGCCTGCTTAAACGCCGTAGCGCCGCGTACCTGGTGATTTGCGCAACACGGCGGCAGAAAAGACAACATGATGTGCAATGGCGTGCTGTTGCGTCAGATGCGTTACCAGCACCGTGTTTGCGGTGTCCCAGCAACCTGTCCGTCAATTTGTGCCATCACGATTGTGTACGGGTACCCACCTCCTATCCTTTTAAGACATTGAAAGACGCGAAGCCACAACAATCCCGAATGTTGAGATCGAGCTGACCACTCCTCCTTTTGGTCCATGCATGTCGGAAATCTACAGCGCCCCGTTTGCTGCCCTGTCAATAACGCAAATCGTTTGCCAGGATACCGCGACTGTGCATTTGGGGGCCTAACGCCTCTATTCCTTCCCTTCCGCAGGTGTCCGCTGTGGGGAGGGCTTGCAGCGTACGAGAAGCAGGGCGTTTTGGCTGTTTCATTCCATGACGCAAATGCAGGTACCTGCTTACCACGTTTGGCTACCCTTTGGGAAACGCCTCTAGGTGAAACCTTGCGAAAGTCAATGTCTTGAGAATAGAGACACCTAGTCAGGTCACAACCAGCACAGGTCCTTGCATCTTGACGCTAGAACTACGATAAAGGGGCGGGGCGGTACAGTTGGGTCCACCGTTATTCTTGTCCACACAGTGTTTCCAACAGCCGCGCCTTTCTTTGCAGAGACATGGGATGGCTGTTCGCTTCGAGGATTACTGGCTCCTTTTGATTGCACATGGATCCCCTTACCATCTGACCGCAGGCTCGAGGTCAACGTATGATGCTGTTGGTTCTATATTGCAGGTGCTGAAAGGCTACGTCAACGGCCATGCACTGAGTGAACGTGATACCGTGTGGTGTTGCCATCGGCAACGCCCATCGGCCCTGGAGGGGGAAGCCGATAAGCCGGCAACGACGGCTGATGTCAGGCATAGGTAGAATCAGGCCTGTGTGCCTTTGGCTGCCGTTGGCCTGATGTATTGCTGTCCAATGAGGCTGTGGAACCCACAACTCGTATTGATACGCGGGGAGTGCTGCACATCAATACTCGTGGACTCTAGAGTCAATCTGGAGTCCATTGCGAAGACATGTGCCGATGTTACAGTGGCCCATCCAGCGACCCGACCGCGACGCAATGCAGTAAAATGTCTCAGTCGAGATGGGCTTGGCTCGCAGCAGAGGAGCCAGTCCAGGTACAATCCTCCGCGGCAGGGCAGCTGGCTTCAATACTTGGGGGTGGAGGGGACAATGGCTAGCCTGGATTGGGGAGGCGTCTCCATCCAGCCGAAGAGTGTGTGCCGTCACTCGCATTCGAAGCACGTCACATGAGCGGCGCCGGGTATTGTTCGGGAAGCGTCATGTCGACGCCAGAAGTCCCTTGGATTGCAGTACCGTCATTCTGAATGCAGATGCAGATGCGTATAGCATACTATACGGTGAGGCGGCGGCTGTTGATCGTCTCACGCACCCATTACCCAGCGGCAGAAGACAGAGAAGGACTCTGCTGGGGCCAGAGAGCGCGCGCAGCTGCGTGTGTGTGTGTGACTCGGCCCAGAGTGGCGGGTCGGGCAGCAGGCGGCCGTTATTGCGATGACGGGTTCGTGCAAAGCGGAAGAGGGAGTTAGACGCAGAGACGCGTTGAAACAAGGAAGACGAAACGGGGAGGTCGCTGGGGGGGGGGGTGTGGGAGTGGGAGTGTGGGAGAGTGCAAAGGGCTGTGGCGCCGTGCCGCAAGCGGACTAGCGCACTCCCGGCCTGCACCCTTCCAACTTTTGCAAGCAGCCGACGTGGCTCGAGCCAGATAAGACGAGCCCAGACGGCCATACATTAAGCGCCCGCCGCGACGCTATCCCGCTAGTCTTGGGGCAGACGGCTAAGTTGCAGCCAGCTCTTCCAGGGATTGATATGCCATGTGGGTCGAGAGCGATGTGAGACATGGTAAAGCGCTGCGAGCCACGGTCGCCCGCTGTCACTGCTGTCAAAGCCGCCCCCAGACCACTCCTCCAACAAGCGGCCAGCCAGCTAGGTAATATCCCTCTTCCTCGCAACCGAAGCACCCTGCGTCTAATTCTGTACGCCCGTGAGCCTCGTCGCTGTGCCACAGGCCGCAGCGTATCGTGGGCCAGTCAGATGCGGCCCGCCTGCGTCTTGCTCAGCGAGGGCGCTTATCATGCACCATGCCTGCACCATTTCACAAACAGACGCATCCATGTCGTCTTGGGCTGCTGCCCATGGCCCGCGGTTCGTGGCTTGCGGTAATGGTCCCCGTGTCATCCCCGCCTCAGGTGGGTGGTACAGAAAGACGTTGTGGGCAGTCCGTGCCGGCGGAGGCGTGTATGGTTGCCAGGGACTGCCCTTGGTGGCGTTTCCACACCTACCCTGAACCCAGACAAATGATGCCACACTCAGCACATCTCTTCTATGGCCATTTGCAGCTGTACATGCTTAATCGCGCTGAATGTGATCATATTGGCACTACGTGCGAGAGGGCCCCATGCGCATCGAAGCCAGGGCACCCTCACTATGTCACTGCAATTTGTCTACCACTCTCACGTTCTTTCGACCGTCTCAAAAACTCCAAAAATGCAAATGTCCACCCACGCCAAAAACAAGAACAAAAGCAATGTCATCCACACCCAAACATTAAAAACACTTGCTGCCATCTGCCATGCGATCCTCGAGAGGGGTAAACGATTGTGTTTCACATATGTGAATTGACGACTCCCGAACTTATCACCTCCGTACGACGAGAACATCCATCACTCCTATGCCTAGAAAATTGTCAGTGACGTGGACAAGTCGACTTGCCAGATTGTCTCTTACCTTGTCAACGTGTCCTTGCGACCAAACACAGCAGAGCACTTCTCACACTGCCATGGCCTCCTCTTCTTGTGCACACACTCGTCATGACGTACCAAGTCCGCCCTGCGTACAAACTCCTTTCCACACGCTTCGTAAGGGCACACATGATCTTTCCTGCGTACTGCCTCGTGTATGAGCAAATGCTGCGTCAGGTTGTGTTTCCTGGCAAAGCCCTTGTCAGGACAAAGCTTGCACAAGTATGCAGCGTGAGCTGGATCAGTGTGTCTCCGGTTGCGAGTTTGTCTGCGTTGTACGGCTGTGACGGCGAGGCTCGGGCAAGCCTTTCGAGACTGTGGGCTGTGCATGCTTCCCTCTGACGGTGCTCTCTCGTATACCACATCGTTGTAATTGTACATGGGATTCGGTTCGCTTCGGAGCAGGGATGGTGATGGGTATGCATTATCGTACGGATACATGCCTGTGTTGAGCCGTTCGGGCGCTACTGTGAGGGAAGAATGCCTCGGGTTTGGAAGCCCATGCATGTGTCCTGGACCGTCTGTACTGTAATGATTTTGTGGGCTCCAACTCGGAGTGTCGACCTTAACTACGCTAGGGTACGCGTGCTCTGAGCCATCATGGGAAAATGTCGACATTTCGCGTGTATATGATAGAGACGAACGTGGGGATACTTGTGCAGATGACCAAGGCACAGGTGAGCGGGATACTGGATAGTCGTAGGCCCCCGAGAGATATGGGTTGGCAAAATCTCCCGGCGAAGAAACGTTTGCAAATTGACCATTCCAGTTCGGTGACGGCTGAGGTGATGGAGGCAGACCATTTGGGAATGGAGATTGTACTTCGTATAGACCAAGGCCTTGCGGGTACTTGGACCGCGACTCTCCTCGCCCTGGCGAAGGATAGGGCGATTCCATTAGGGCGCCTGTCTCTGGAGCACGGAGTTGGTAGGGCGATTTGAAAGGCGGCGTAGGTTGGTCCGGGTACATCATGATGAAAGAACAGAGAAGGAACAAAGGGAAACAATGTACAAAGTCCTTGGTGTTGGCCAAGGTGATGAGGAGTGAAGGTGGATAGAGGAGATAGTGGAGTGCAGGAAGCTGAATGAAGAAGGTGAATGAAGGCTGAACCGAGATAAGTTATATTTGTAAGAAGCAGTAGCTGAGCAGCCTTGCCAGATGCAAGATCAGACTTCGGTTTGTATGCTCCACCAGTGTATTCTCAAAGCATGCGTTCAAACAGTGGGCTTTTGAGTGTTAGGCAGACTCCCAAATTATGCTAGGCAAGACCAGCATGAACAAAGCTCGAGCCGCCTGCGCGGCAGCGCCTGTTAGTTCATGGGGCTATGAAGGAGTGTGCGTGTGCAGGGGCATGCAGTCGACAGTGGCTTAACCGGGGTAGCCAAGTGAACCACACTGTCGGGTACCTAGACCTTAGCGGGCCGAACACAAAATCCTTGCGCCGACCGGACTTTGAGGCGCAAGAGGAGAGGGCGGTTGTACCCATGCCTGTGTGCGTCCCCCATGAAACTGTCAATCCTGGCCAACCTGCCCTGCGCCCATCCGCCGTTGATCGTTCGTTCATTCACTCATTCACGGCCCCAGTCTTGTCTGACTACGAGACTCTAACACCCCCCATTCTCATGCGTAATTGTTCGACGACCCTTTTCGACACGAAAACATGCAATGCTATTTGATTTTTTTTTGCCCACCATGTTGCTGCCCGTCCTGAACATGCCTACCTCTACTCCCGCGGCTGCAAGCGCCGGCCCTCACGCGGCCGATGTGCTCGCTTCGCGGTCTTCCCGGAGCTGCGACACCATCGCAGTAAGTTCTTCTACTTGGGTGGATAACTTGGCAACTAGTGTTCTCAACTGAGCATCTGATTCCGGCAACCCCGTTCGAGTCTGAGGCCGAATCGCGTGCTGAGCCCTTCCCGTAGAATTGGGGAAGCTCGCCATTAGCAAGCGCGGCGAATTCACAGCCAACCGAGGGGCTCTTTTGGACGGCGCAGGTGACTGGGGACCGCTAAACGTCGTCATCTTGGCCTTGCCGCTGTGAGGATTGCACAGCTTCTCAAAGGCCCAGATCACAAATACGTGGGGCAGATGTGTCGCCTTGAGCATGACGATCCGGACACTCCTCAGCCGCTCAGAGGGCAAAATGAGCCGCAACGGGCGGATGACTAGCGGAATCAGATTCTGGAAGCCGGTCAGCCTTGCGACGGGGAAGCCGAGTGTGGGAGTAGCTTCGTCAAGGGCCCACATGAGTTTGCAGTGCTGCTGTGTCGAGAAAGCCTGAGCGGCAGAACAAGGCTCGCAGGCAGGGTAACAACGGCATAGCGCCCACATAATGACACTCCTCGAGCAAGTCGAGCAAAAAGTTGGTTGGACATGAGTGTGTCTTCCACTCTTGTCATAGTGGCTGTGCCAATTGGCCGCTCAGCAGCCCGGCGCTTAATGCCCGCTTTTACGTCCCCATAATAGCATTACAAAATGTACGTACCAGTGGAGGCAGAAAGTATGTCAACCTATTTGAGCTTGATGCTTCAAGCACATAGACAGAGTAACTGCATCCATGTCCAAATTAGTATTTTTTAACGGCCAATGGTTGGGGTGGACAAACACAAACGAGTATTCATCTCTGGCATGGTCCAAGACCTAGCATTTGTCAGTTCTTTGAACGCAATTCATCACATAGTGCACAGATCAGTACTGTAGCCATGCCCCCCATGGCCTAGGGTGAAAGACATGGTTGTGGTGAAACTGGGGTTGAACGTCAAGTGTGGCTGTATCATACCCCCCAAAAAACAATGGGTGGAAAAAATCAAGGAAGCTCTCCATGTCATACATCCTAGTAGAGTAGCTCGAAATGAAGGGGGCGCAGTTGAATGTGGACCGCGGCTTGGCGTGCATAAAACATGTACGCCGACTTTAGGAGCGGGGATTCGACGACCAACGAAAATAATAAGTACCTTGCTCAATGAGTTGCTCAAAAGCGATATTAAGCTTGTAATGAGGAGAATATTTGTCAAAGTGACAAAAATTAGCTGATACACGAGTCAGAATACGGCTAGACAATGTTATAAATAATCCTACCATGACGGGAGGCCCAAACAACGGCGAACTGTGGATCGTTAATAGACAGTCGACATTTATTTTTGGGTGACTGCATACATCTCTTCAGCAACATCTGCCCAGGATTGTGTTAGTTACTGGTACATCGATGGTGGTGGCAGTGTATCTGTTGCGCAGGTTCTGCATGGAAGTATCAACTCACCGAATCCTAGATAGCTCGATCTAACAAAGAGTTAGCGGATATAATGGGAGTATCAACATAGCTTCGCTCACCCAAAGAAGACTTTGACCAAGATCCAACACTGGCGGAGGTAAGTAAGTATATTGCGGTTCAAGTGGCAGAGTCTGCAAGACTGACCATCTGTTTCGCATTGAACCTGCTATCGCGAGCTAGCAACACAAAGGTAGTCAAGAAACCTAATGGAGTATTTAGAAACCATTCACCATAGCTGGGTACAACTTCTTACCTAGGTACAAGATCACCACGAGTGATAGAAACTTGACAAAGTCCTTCGTCATCTCTGAATCTGATTTAGCGGAATCGAATGAACATTGCACAGCAAGGTGAGCTAACCTTTCAGACAGGGAATCAGAGTTCCAAAATAACGATTGAGACTCAGCAGGGAGAATATACGTGGCACCAGGAAGAGCGCCTCCAGCCCAAGTACATCGTATGCCTGATCAATTGTCGCGGCATGGCCTGTCGCCAAACCAACAACTCCTGTAGGGATTTTAGATTTTGTCTCAATCACATGGTTTGGAGGTCTCACTCATCACGCAGAATACAAAGCCAACGACCACTATACTTATATCCCATGTCCACCTGTTGAGGTTAGATAGTACCAGATCGACTCAAACGGATAGGGATGTTACCAAAAGTCCGAAGCATAAAATGACGTCTGCCCAGCATCGATCCAATCTGCAAACTCATCATAAGCAAAGCTGGCAATCCACACGTAGAGTAGTAGCTCGGGAACAGTGATACGAGTGTTGTTGCGTTTCACTAGTACCGCGTAGTAGAGTGCTAAAAAGGCAGCGAAGAACAACGTCTCAAAGACTTTGAGATATAGCGGAACACGAAGACGGGAGAACGGGTCAGCTTGTCTCCGGTTGTATCTCCTGGGCTTCTTCTCTGAGTGCAAGCTAAGGGTTTCCCAGAAGACGATGTCGCCCTTCCACAAGCCGTTGATGATCTTCTGGACCGGTTTCTGTGAAAGGAACTTTTTGGCACCTACACTGGTTCAGTCTGGATTATATGGGAGCCAACACAAGGCTGTCAAAAACGTACCGGATACGGCGGCAAGTTCTAGAGCACTAAGATTTTCACATTGCGACATCATCGACCCGAACCGGGTCAGGGCGGAACCATTGTGGTTAAAGTAATCCCCATTCGAAGTCGGCAGAAGAGGCGAGCGCTCATTTGGGTCCGCACTGCCAGCTCCGTTCTGGCGACCTTGCTGGCCGCCTGCTGTTTCTGGGCTATTAGAGGCCGATGCAGGAGGCAGTTCAACCAGCAGGAACTCTATGATTTCTGCTTCCTTCAGGTTTGTCAAAAACTGCCATGCAACAAATTCACATGCGTATCCGCGGGCTTCGTTCACCCCCGGTTCATCGCTGGTTTCTTCTAATGCTGAAAAGTGTCCTTTCAAAGCCCTGACTTGAATCAGCTCTCTTTGCTAGTATTGTTGTCTACGTTTCTCGAGTAGTATAAAGCTGCTTCGACGTACATCAGTGCCGAAATTAGAGCTGGATGATCGACTCGGTCGGAAAGGTATTGGACGAGAACCTTGACGGCGTGACCTTCCTGCGATCGACGCAGGTCTTCGAAAGCATGCGGTAACTTAATGTTGTGCTCAAAGAATCTATGGCTCCATTAGAGAACCGCGTCATTGGCACATTGCACCTCACAAACTGACTGGCATAACTCGTCTACCAAGCTCCCAAAATCTTCATTACCGTTTATCTGGGGCATGCTTATATCGCCGACTGGCCATGTCGGCGTAGGAGGTACCGAGACGTCTGTTTCCCGATGCATCGTCATAATTGGTTGGTGTTGAGTTATTGCAGAGATTCGCGACGCGTGGGGTGCAGCATGCATCGCGCCGCTGTGGAGCGGGCGCGGCAAGTCCCGCGTCATATTTTTCTTGGCAGCCCACCTCTCCCTTCCTTGGATGTTTCGTGGTCCTACAACAAATGAGATAATGACATAGTTTCCTCAATACATAATTTCTTCGACTTACGATTTCAGAATGATCTTGTACAGAACCGAAATTCCAAAAGTATATCATCACATGGCGAGATAGCCCGCATGAAAAACCCGTGACATCGACGTCATACCCATGCATTTTCAGAAAGCCAGTGTACTGTGTGAGATATTCATATCTCACCACTTGATAATTGACTATGAAGTCGCTTCGCTTTTGCAGACCACGTCGGCACTAGATATACCAGCATCCCAGACCATAAGCATCTAGAAGATACTCGCTACTTCATTCTAAAGAACTCATAGAGCGAAATGTTATCGCTACAGACGTAAATACACTTCACAATCATGAACACCAGAAGTAAAAGCCCTCATAATATCTTCAAAACACACCGACTGCGCTCTTAAAATGAGGTTGCCTACTTCGACGAGTGAGAAAGAGTGAAAATAGCAGTGAATAATATACCTTAGAAGATAATGGCTAGAACTCTGACAAGGAGGGGCAAAGATAAGTTCCATAACGAGAATCAATACTGAAATAATTCTTTAATTTCCCGTCTTGCATCTACACTACATCAGATCCAATCATATTCAGATACAAAATGCATAAAAATTCCTAGAAACTATACTGTTGCAATGTAAAATTCGTACACACCATAACCGTCCCCTTCCTGCTGTTACATTCGCGACCTCCCAGTTCCGTAGATATCGCCTTCCATACAACCAAAGTTCCTACCGTCTAAGATTAGTAGCCGACTGCCCTCTGTTGCAAAGCGCAAGCGCACACCTTCTCGAATAGCTAAGAGGTCCTCGCAAAGGAGGCAAGAAAAGCAAGAAGCAAGAACAGCAGAGTGGTAGGAACATCAATTCATAGAAGGAGGCATTCGCGACAGCTCACTGGTATATAATACCTACTTTCGTCTCATGGACTCCGTCTCTCCAACCATCAACGCTTTTTCTTTTCTTTGACTTCCAATGCGCGATCAACACCTCCCCACTAGGCCCATAGCCCTTGTCTCTCGCATGATCCACCTCCACTTTCACGCTCGATGTCTGCTTCGCAAAGCTACCTACCCCCGAACCAACATGTCCAAGCTTTGCCTGTCATAGCATGGCGCAGGTTCCGGATACATCTAAAGGCAGGTGGGATGATGAGAAAAACCTTGTTACGGGCGGAGGCTTCGGCCCATGAAGTGAACCGACTAGGACTGACCATAAAAGACGCCCTGCATAGCTTTTCTAACACGCACATTCTCTATAGGCTCCCCTCTTTCATCATTGACAGGCTACCTCTCATCGTCGCAGACCTCAGCTTAACTTGTCAGCTTGACATTGATCAGCGACAAACTCTCATCATCGGTCGTGTCCCTTGTTACGGTTTAAGGCGCCTTAAGGAATCGTGCATGGGCAGGAGGAACACCCGGTTTTATACTCGCGTTGGGAGCCAGACAATCTGGTCGAGTGATGATGGGTGGGCCGTCTGGAACCTTGGTTGAAGGAGTGGATTACTGTTCATAATTTGGTTGCCGAATAACACTGTTTTTTGCACTCCCTACTTCTTGTATCTGTGACGTGCTTTGCTTCTACGTTAGCTCTTAGCGCGTTCCTTATACGATGCGTCTTTGGTAATGGCAATGCGCCAATAGGTGGTTTGTATTTATTATAGTAAATGTATGCTTACCCGCTGGTGACGGCTGGTGCCGAGAGACACTCTGTGAATTTTCAAACAACATGCAATCAGTTCTATTAGTAGAAGCCATTGGATATCGATAAATATAGCCGGAAATTCTTATGTGCGAACCACTGCATTAGAAATCATAAGGGGCATTAGAGCATAAGTTGTTAAACAAGGACCGAGCTTTGATTGATGGCAAAATCGTGATGTTCGGTTGCAAAAAGTGTTGACTCGAAGAGAATAGAATCTGTGCAACATCTTCGTCATATATAGGCTATCATCTACGACTTGTCAGTACAAGGGTAACCAAGCATGAACTGTGAAATGATAATGTGCATATAGCTCAGACTTGCCTTTTAAAACTAGACATCAGTGACTCCAAAGCGCGCATAGGCTGGCACCATAGATTGGGTAGCACGGCCCGAGGAAACATGCTGGTGTCTCACCGTTTGTTCGTTTTGTAATCATTGCGAGGGAAAGAGACGAAAGAGACAAGTGACCAACCTCATTTGCTGAGCACATGTGTGCCTTTTGTTTTACCCGTCTCCATCTTAGCAGTGCGGGCACCGAACTGAATCGCACGCTTCTTTTCGGAAGCAACTTTCTTCATACCCAGTTGCCATGCCAGCATTCGAAGTGCTCGCTTTGCGGGTTCAAGGGCCCGCTTTGGATCCTCGTCATCAGCTTCTTGGGCTAGTCCAAAATCACACTTGGCAGTCACTGGAAGACGGAGCGCTAGTGCGATGAAATCTTCATCGAGATACGGGAATCGAACTTCTTTGCCGCTATCACTGATGACACGATCATCTCGGCCTAGATTTCGTTTTCCCAATCGACTAAAGTCAAGTTCTAGCTCTTCAATAAGGCCAGGATAACCACGCCGGGCAAAAGCTAAATCGTGTCGCTGATAGCCCCCGAAGAGCTCATCGGCACCCAAGCCTGAAAGAAGAACATGTGCAGTAGTTGTGTACGGCTCGGTCTTGCCATTATTCGAGGCGCAGACTACCCCACTGCCACGCGAAGCGAAATAGAGAGCAAATGATATAGAAAGGTCCATTTCGGTGTTGTGAGGATGCATCAGTGTCATGACATTGAAACGATGTGCCTGCGTCTCAGAGTAGGGTACGTTGACTGCGACGAACCGCCATATGCGACCTGGGCAGACGTCAACAAGCTCGGCATGCGATGATCTTCCAGTAATGCGATCAGGGCAAAGCTCATACGGGCTGGTGCCGGGTTCAAGCTGAGAGTGAATGCGGGGGTTCTCGAAAGCAACATTGAGAAGATCAATAGGTGCGCTTGGTGGCAAGAGATCGTGGCACAAGCGTGCAAGAATGGTACAGTCAAGGCCTCCCGAGAACAAGATTGCCACTCTGGTGTGGTTTGGCACATCCATGTCCATGCCGGCTACTGCCTCACGGACATGTTCTGTGCGAACTTGCAGAGATTGGAGTAAAGACATCCTCAGTTGGTCTACCACACTGAAGTCTAGGGCGGCTTTGTCCGAGATGGAGCAGTTCATTAGAGGAAAGGGCAGAGTCTACGGGTGTTAGCAGAACCCACGGATAGGGTCACTTACCTACGAAAGAGATTTCAGAGTCTTGGTCTTGGTCGAAACGACGGTGGGGTATCCGGTTATCAGAAAATAATGGATATGCAGTATTTACATCCAACAAGTCGACGACGTGTATGCCGTCAGCATCGACTTCGGCCCAAGCCTCACCAGATGCATTGTCGCAAACACTGGACAAAACAATAGTACCGTCGGCAGCGTCTTTGCGAAGTAGCGATCGCCGTCCGAGACAGTCGCGACCATAGTAGACGCGTTTGTTTGGCGCATCATAGAAGACGAATGCATAAGGACCACGCACGGCTGAAAGCAGTTCAACGACGCTACGCGTCGAGGTTGTACTTTCGTCGGCGCATGCCTCTAGAAGTCTTGCAAAGACGAGCTGGGAGTCGTTGCCATTGACAGCTTGGCCAGAGATGCTCCAAGCCTCGCCGTTCCAGCAGAGCACTGAATCCGTAGCTGCGTCTTTGAGGGGCTGCTGAACAATTTCCTTGCCGCGCAAAGCAAGTACTGTTGACAGAAAAGTGGCGTGCACCCGCGTTGGGCCTGCTTCTTGTACAGCGCATGCAGAGTCTAACTCGATAGCGACGCGATGCTCACCAGTGGCATCGGGCCCTCTGTGCCGGAGAAGCAACTCGGTACTGGCAGTGGGCGTCACATGGCCGGCCCGGCTGAGGGAGAAGAAGATGCCGCACATGGCAGGGCGCCGGGGTAGGAGGGATGGTGAGGTTGCAATAGAGTTTGGGGATGCGACGCATCTGAAGGCGTTGATACCAGACGGAGGTAGTTCGGCGCTTCGGCTTCTAGATGCCGGGAGACTATCCATGCGGGCAGCTCGCGGCCTTGGACGAAGCACGTCTCGACCGCAAAGGCAGCCGACCGACTTTGACGCTGTTCGAGCTGTGTGAAGCGCTGCTGACTGTCCATGGAAGTTTGACCGGCCATTCTGCACCTTTCTTTTCTTTCACGCTCCTTATCCGCAGTCGGTCTATGTCTCTCCCGAACCCAACTCCGCAACTCGATGCAACCCACGACATCATCACCACCAACGACCAGCTAGACAAGGTCGAGGATCCGCACCATGTAGCCACCGAAGCACAACAGGAGCCCCTCTCCCAAGGCCACGTCTCTCGGCCCAAGCACGACCATGACAGCGCAACCACGACGAGCGAGGCGGGGCAGCCTGCTGGTGCTCTGGACGAGGGGTCAGTGGCCAGCAACGAGGCCAAGGCGGACACGGTAGACGCGCAGGATAATAAACACGCTGTATCCACAGACACCGAGCCAGAGCCAATAGCGGCAGGTTCGCACCAAGCACAGGAAAAGGCGCTCGAAGCCGCACAGCCATCCTCTGCCCACCACGTCGACGAGCCTGCGACCACCTCACACGACTTGCCCACCGCTGGCCGCTCAACACCTCCACCCAGCGAGCGAACCGAGAAGGCTGCAGGAAAGGCCCCCATACGCTCGCCCTCGCCCCCGCCCCCGCCTCCCAAGGACGACAGATATCTTTCGACGAGTAACGTGCCCAGCCGGGCTGCATCCCCCATGTCGCAAGCACGCTCAAGTGGGGGCAACTCGGAAGATGCTGCCGCTGACGAATATGGTACAGCAAACGACAGCACCGGGGACGCTGCCGATAACTCTCAGCCAGAGATCCAGAGTATCATGGACCAGTTCCAGGGCAATGCAGCGCCGGGGGAGGATGAGATCATGTCACCACGACTTGAGATTGCCAATCCCCTTCTCGAATCGCCGTCTTCAGCCTTTCCTCCACGCCGCTCGAGCCTCGTTCCTCCCGACAAGCCCCTTCCTATACCCATGACGGAAGATGCCGCTTCTGGAGCGCCCATACAGTCTCCACCCCCACGAACCTCATCCTTATACCGCGTTGGTACCAACACATCTTTTCAAGAACCATCATCTCCTAGCGCACATGCTTCCAAGTACAAGCCTGTGCAACCGGCCCCGGAGCCAGAGCCCGATCTACCATTTGACTTCCACCGATTCCTTGAGCAACTGCGCCACCGAACAGCAGACCCAGTAGCCAAGTTCCTACGGTCTTTCCTTCTCGAATTTGGCAAGAAGCAATGGATGGTGCACGAGCAGGTCAAGATCATTGGTGACTTTCTTGAGTTCATAGCAAAGAAGATGGCTCAGTGCGAAGTGTGGCGAACCGTATCAGACGCTGAGTTTGATAACGCAAGAGAGGGTATGGAGAAGCTAGTCATGAACAGGCTATATACCCAGACGTTTTCGCCCGCAATTCCACCAGCAGAGCCAATATCGCCGCGTAAAGGCGGAAGAAGACATGACCCGGCAAGACCTGGCAGGAGAGGTCAGCACCAAGAAGACGTGGAACGCGATGAGGTCCTTGCACAGAAAGTTCGCATCTACAAATGGGTCAAAGAAGAGCATTTGGACATCAAACCAATTGGCGAAAAGGGGAAGAAATTCTTAAACCTGGCCCAACAAGAGCTACTCAAAATTAAAAGCTACCGGGCGCCAAGAGATAAAATCATCTGCATTCTGAACTGCTGCAAAGTTATCTTTGGCTTTTTACGGACATCAAATTCAGATCAGTCTGCCGATGCATTTATACCGCTGCTTATCTACACTGTGCTCCAGGCCAACCCAGAGCATCTTGTCTCAAACGTACAATACATCCTCCGGTTCCGCAACCAGGAGAAGCTCGGTGGCGAGGCAGGCTACTACATCTCGTCGTTAATGGGCGCCGTACAGTTTATTGAAGGTTTAGACAAGACTTCACTGACAGTCAGCGACGAAGAGTTTGAGAAAAATGTCGAAGCAGCTGTATCGGCCATCGCTGAGCGTCATGCTACTGCAGAAGCCGAGCCATCATCTGCTTCTACCCAGTTACACCCTAATGCCCCTACCCACAAGCGCATGCCCTCGCCACACTACCACCACATACAAGAAAAGACGACACCTTTGCGGCCCGAACTCACTCAGAGGAATTCGATGGAGGCTGAAACTGCAGGACCACGCCGTTCGACGAGCGTTAAAAACAATCAGTCCGAGACTGAACAGCCCGAGGAAGAGAATGCAGCCGTAGCAGGCTTGCTGCGTACTATACAACGTCCACTCAGCACGATCGGGCGCATCTTCTCCGACACCGATACACACCAGTCATCTGGGCAAACCACACCGTCAAAGCAGCAGCAGCAGCAGTTGCCTACGCGTTCAAGGGCAGAGGCTCCTGAACATGAACACAATCACGACGAGAATCGGCACAGGGAGAAGGCCTCGGCCGAAGAGGCAGCGGCGAAACGTGCGTCTGCAGAGGCAGAAGAGATACGTCGGATTCAGCGGCGGGAGCACCAAGTTGTTGTTGAGACTTTGACAAATATGTTTCCGCAATTGGACAAGGATGTTATTGATGATGTTGTGCGGCAGAAGGAAGGAAGGTAAGTTCAAACTCTCATAATCCGAGTTCTCGAAAGAACGAGATGAATTCTTACTATGATTAGGGTTGGTCTTGCGGTTGATGCATGTTTAGCGCTGGCGAATCCTTGATATAGTCACAATCCGTGGTTGAGCTTTAATAGATTACTCGGCCTCTAATGGAAGCATTTCTCAATGAGACGAATAACGCAGACTAGCTCTGACCTGATTGTGGTGTCTCACAGGTACATCTTCCTTGTAGGCTGACAGAACAAATCCATGCCTCATACCATGATCCCCGTACAGAAAGCATCGAACACTGGTAAGCTGCGAGACCTACAGCTAGCAAGCGCCACTATCCCTCCTCAAAAACCATTGTTTAAACTCCTTCTCGAGGCCAGGCATGTTTAGCCGATCAATATCCCACCCACAAGCCGTGCTCTCACAATGCAACAACAGCGAACTGAGTTGACTAAACGTCTTGCCGCACTCCTTGTCGCGGCAAAGAAAAGGATGCAATGCGCCCTCGCTCATCCACTCGCACACCTTGTGAATGTCCACGCGACCAGTCCGAATATGCGCGTGCAAATCAAGATCCATGTAGAGCGGTGAGTACCACCACATGCCCAGACAACGCATCAGAGGCGTGGCTTCACCTAGCTTTGGGCAATTGCCGGACTCGAGGTGGTTGATTAGGCTCGAGTATTTTCGCATGGGGGCGTCGCAGCCCCAGCATACCAGGTCGGCGGAGCTGTGCTTCGTCATGTGCTTCCGTGATGTTAGTGTTGCATTCCTTACACGAGCAGTTGATGCACAGCTGTTGCTTACAATGTCAAAGTTTCCCTTGTGGGACGTGTAGAAGTCACACTCTTCACATCGAAAACAGTGCGTCATGTGAAGTTCCAACTGGGCTTTTCCCGAGCACTTGTCGCCGCATTGTGGACAGGATAATGCGAAGAGGCAGGTCTCGTAGTGCTGGTTGAGTTTGGTCAGGCTCGGCAGGATGCGTTTGCATCCTTGGCATTGGAAGTGGTCGCGTCTCAGATGCTCGGTGAGGGAGGCTTGATCTGGACCGTCAAAGTCACAGCCGGGTTGCAGACAATGCTTGTGTCCTGTTGACATGTCAGTAAGATGATTCCCAAGAGTCACTCTGTATATTCAAAGCAGTGCGTTAACTTACTGAGAGTGTTCCCCCAATGCTCATCGCGCTCATCCTGGTTACGAAAGCGGCGCCGGCACGTCTGGCACCACGTATGCTTCTCGGCCGTCTGCAGATGGCGGTCCAACTCTGCACTCGTCTTAAATCCTGTAAGGCATGTCAGACAGACAAATTCGTGTCCGACACTGTAGTTGTTCTCGAAATGATTCTTGAGACCCCACTGGTCCTTGAACGCCGAAAGACACAGGTTGCAGTACGTCTCGTGACCGAACGAGTTGTCGACATGATTCTTCAGGCCGTTTCTGTCTTTGAATACGCGCTTGCATAGGTTGCAGTAATTCTGGTGGTTTGGCGACTGTTTGATGTGGTTCTGTAAGGCTGTTTTGTTTGGGAGTTTGAGAGAGCAGACGCCACACCAGTTTTCGTGTGGATCATGTGGCTTTTCCTCGGGAGTACATATAGGGGCATTATTACTCTGTCCATTGTTGAGAAGTTTTTGTATAGATGCGGCTTTGGTCCGGTGTTTGGTGACAGTCAGTGGCCGGCTGGCTGATGCCGTCACTGGAGCACCACGTTTCTTTACCTTCTCCCATGGTATCGAGTCGTCCGCGACTTGATTTAAGAAGGGATTCTTGCTCGGATCTGGTGGTGTGGCTTGCGTAGCAACCGCATTGTCGTCCGCGCTGGCGAACAGCGCATATCTGTTATATCCCGGTGTCGCCATGTCTGAATTCGCAGCAACCTGGATCACGGATTGATGGGAGTGTAATGATTTCCCGTCAAGTTGAGTCATAAATTGTTGTTGTGAGTGATTGTCTCAACCAGGTATCCATGCAGCAAGCGCGCTGTCAGGTGACACCAAACGGGCTACTGGAGCATAGACCGACATAGCACTCGATAGAAGAGCGGAGCAATCAAAAGAGTGAAAGTGCTAATACACCATACAAGCACGTGCGTGGGGGTGTGGTCCCATGAGATATCTCGTGGGAGAGTTTGTGGAACGATAATGACGTAAGTGAACAGAGAGTGTGAAGGTGAAGGAAGGCGCGGCACATGGAGAGCGTGTGGTGCATAAGGCTGCATTAACACCACCACGACCGTGTCACGTGAGCCATGAAAATTGCTGTCACGAAAACAACCATGGTGCTGCCAGACTAAGTGCGAGCTTCATTTCAACTCAGTGTGCACAAGTGGGTTCGGCTTCAATTGCACAACCCTCTCCCTTTGACAAAACAGCTCAGCATCTACCCCTCATCCACTACAGATACAGCTACTTTTGGCATAAGATACGCATGCTTAACTAAACTGTACATGTGAGAGCTGGTAACCATTAGTTCACCATTTCGTAAATGCTCCCTGGCTTTACCAACAAACAGGGACCAACATCACACACATAAATTTCTCGCTCTTCCCGCAAAGGCTGGCGCTTGTTTGTCCCAGTACCCCACAAACCATCTTTGCATTACCAACTATACCCACTCGAACTTCCTAAAGTCTTGACTCTATACCAATTTTTACCTCCAATCATGAAGACCTCCATCATCCTTTTCGTTCTTGCATGCTTGTGTCTCGGCTGTGCAGCCGCTGATATTAATATCCCCTGCAATCATGCGGATTGGCGCCTTTGTCACTATCATAGTAAGAGGTCCTACAAAAGATACGTGCACAGTGTGTTCGGGGTCTCGTCCGTGGCTCCAGATAGAGCGGGAGCTGTGGAACATCCCGTTGCGGATGGGAACAGCACGTTAGTTGCGGGCGTGAACAGCACGTTTGTCGGGTAGATCGGGTGAATGGTGGGTATCTGAAAAGACAAATCACTTCGGTTTATACTGATACATGGATTTCAGAAAACGAGTCGGTGGGCTATGGGGTTCCTTCTTTATGGGTATATGGCTGTGGGCAAGACTACACAAAAGGAAGTGGTACGAGGGTATCCTTCTAACACACAGAAATACAGACAACATATGGAGGAGAGTGCAACTTGGACCTTCGTTGCGTTTCGTTGTAATGGGGGATAGTAGCGTTTATGGCATTACGAAAACGGTTATACATTCATCTCCAAGGCTTGAAGAGTCAAAATGTATAATCTGTAATCGGAATGCTGCTTATGATGATATTTCTTTATCCACTTTCATCCATATAGCTGCCTTCATTGTCATCCATCTTGCAATGCAGTCAGCCAACCCATGCTTGTAATACGCAAACCACCACGAGGAACAATACTCAGAGCAAAGCTTGACTAGAATTTGTCCTATGTCTTAGTCTGATAAAATGAGGTCGGAGGTGTATGTACGACAGCTTTTCCTCAGTCCCTTTGAGAATACCCCCTTTTGTTTATTTAGAATATATACATTTTTTCAGGCCCTCATTGTGCAGGAACACTTCCGCATACAGTAACTTTTACATATCATCTACTAAAATCACATACGACCCTGCTGTACATAGCCAATACAGAGTGATACAGAAGACATATCCCTAGGAATAGCTTTGCTCTCCCTATTCATCACTCTATTTTCGGTCGTGAATGTAGTTTCGGATCTCGAAAACGGCGCTGTCACCCGGCAACAGCAACGTCACGCGACTAGGATCCCACTTTCCCCGTGAGTTATAGAACACAAACAGCCATGTAATCAGTTGATCACCACAGTAATTATTAAAAAAAAACATCCATCTCGCCATTTCTAGAAAACTCTCATCCGAGTAAACACAGCAACAATCTCAAAAAGCCAGAAACAATAGCAAGATAAAGCACAGCAGCAAGCCTAACGTTTCTTAGGATAACTCAACTCAAGAAGACATGAATTCTGACATATTTCAAAATAGCATGCCCAAGACTAAGCTACCCTTGCGAAAGATACTCCCAATGCCGAAAAGACGGATAAGATGTGGAAACGGAGAACGATTTAGAAGATTGAACCCAGGAAGGGTAAAGAGGAATGCTTCAACAACAACACCAAAATCGACATCTCGCTCTTGCCTCAGCGTAGAGGAGATGAACCGCGCCCTGGCCCTAGCAAATATTACCACCAACTATCAGCGGCCAGATAAAGACTTGATAGCAGCCATGAAAAAGAAACAACGAGGCAGAACCGCTGGCCCCACCAACAGTACTCTGGAACCAAACACTACGCAGTCACTTACGCCGGCTGAAGAAACCATCTCACTGCCTAGTGATTCTTCCACACTCACACCTCTCACGGCACGTGACACCGCTACCCCTTCCAAACAGCCAAGGAAATCATCAGATTGGGAGACGCAAGCCAAAAAGATAATTGAGCGGGAAAGTCACAGCCTAGACAGAGATTGGTCACGCTTCAGCTGGAAGCAAAAAGCCAGCAACATTGTGCGGCTCAAGCTGCTGAAAGATGATGGCTACGACATCAGTCAACTGCTGAAAAAAGGTGTCACCGCGGATGAAATCATCGATGCAATACTCGCACATATCCGGGCCAGAAAGGGGGGACAGTCAGGTACTTACGTGTCTACCTGTCTCGATACAGTCACGCAGCCAGAAACAAACTATGATGCAGAGATAAACGAAAAAAGCGCATGCCAACCAGACACAGATGACCCTCTCCCTTACATCTCAGACACCACATATCGCCCAAGCAACACCTCACCTCCCCATATCCCCCAGCAAACCCACCCAAACACCCCCGCCACCCTCCTGCCTCAAAAGCGAAAGCACACACAAGACCCTAGTGACTTCCCCTCACCACCTTTTAAAAAACGCCGCATCCACTCCCCCAAACACACCACCAGCACAACTCACACCTCCGCTCTCCAAACCCTCAAACGCCATCTCCGCCGCTCCCTCTTCGCTTCCACCCGCACGTCCCATTCGCGCTCTTACTCCCACCTTACAACCTCGCAGGGCACAAGATCGCAAGTCCCGATTCTCATCTCAACACCGCTGCCTGCGGCCCCGACATCGCGTATCGTCTTTACGCTGCAAGAACCAGGGAGACGGCCGAGCGGGGCGGATACGTATGTCACGTCTGCGGCGTTTGAGCTGTTGGGGAGAGAGGTGCAGTGGTTGGCGGGGGGTGCGGGGGTTTGGGATTGCGATTGTGAACTAGAAGATGAGGAGCGGGTTGGGTACGGGATTAAGTTACTAGTCAAGAGTGGGGAAGGCGATGCGGTGCTTGAGGGGGAGTCACGGGCGCTTGCTTCTTTGCTGAGGCATCTGCGGGATGCCGAGTTGATGCATTTGGGAAGGTGGAGGGTTGGTGATGTGGGTGTGGATGCGGAGGGGGTGCGGGATGTGGAGATGAAGGTTGTGAGGAATGAGTGGTTTCCTTTTCATCTTAGTCCTGCGGCGAGTGCGGTGTTGGGGGGGATTGCGGAGATGCTGGAGAATGGGCGGGATGAGGTGCGTGTTGGGGTTGTACGGCAGAGGGCGAGGTTTAGTGTCAGTGAGAGGTGAGAGAGGGGAGATGTAAAGGGTATGGATTGGTGTGGGTCGGGATGGAGGGGTTGTACTAATGGTACGCAAGTTCAAGTTTTTAAGTGGGATGGCAACGCAAGGCTTTTACGATATGCGAGGCTGGTGATCGTACCACTAGACGATATGTAAGTATCTTGGATTACTATCAGCTTATATCGTCCCAACCTTCCTTTTCATCGGAAAATGGTAAGTTAGTAACCCGACTCTCATGTCAGCTAACTTAAAAAAATGAGCACTAATGTTGTTACCTGAACTTTGCGTTCAGTGATGAAGTTAACAAGTCAGTATACGCGGTTCAATATGGTTCAAGAACTCGCGATTGAAAGCCAGACTACACTTTCTGTACTAAATCTAACCATGTAGCTTACAACATAGAAGCATCAATCCCGGAACAAGTCATCCTTGTCTCCGCACTATCCATACCTCACCTCACCCGTACCCTCTCTGAACCAATCATCACTCGCCAGACCCTCTTCCGCCGTCGCGTAATTGATAATCGTGCTCTTAGAAGTAGTATACGCATTATACGCATCAACCCCATTCTCACTTCCCACACCGGAGCTCTTGATGCCGCCCCAGGGCGAACTAGGGTCATTACGATGATGCGTATTGACCCAACAGATGCCACTCTCGATGTTTTCCGAGACGCGGAAGGCCTGTGATAAGTCCTGTGTCCAGATGGCAGCTCCGAGCCCAAACTCGCTGTCGTTTGCGAGCTCGATGGCCTCGTCTTCGGTGTCGAAGCCGACGACTACGATCACGGGACCGAAAGCTTCTTCTTTCCATATACGCGTGTCGACGATTTTTGTGGATTGGCCATTGGTTAGAATGGTAGGGGGATAGAAGTAGCCGGTGGAGAAGTCAATGCCGTCGAGTGATGACTCGCCCTTCATGCGCTCTCCGCCAAATACGGCCGTAGCTCCGGCTTGCTTTGCGTCGTTGACGAGCGCCTCTACGTTAGCGAGCTGCTTCCTGGAGATGAGTGGGCCCATCATCGACTCGACGTTTTTCGGTGACCCCATTCTTTTCTCGATACTTTGAGCCTTGGTCTTGAGCTTGGCTACGACATTATCGAGAATGCTGTTTTGGACAATGATTCGGGTTGCTGCTACACATGTTTGGCCGCTGGCAATGAAGCTAGCAAACGCTACACCGTTGACTGCCAAATCTAAATGTGCCTTTTCAAAGATGATCAAAGGTGCTTTGCCGCCGAGTTCGGCAGTATAGTGTGCAAGGTTTCCTCCTGCGATGGCACCAATGGCACGTCCTGCGGGCGTGCCTCCTGTCACATCAACCTTCTTGATCAACGGGTGCTGGACTAGAGCTTTGCCTGTTGTGATACCATCTCCAGGCAGCACGTTGAATACACCATCCGGCAAACCGGCCTCCTTCATAAGCTTTCCCAACTCAACGCTTGTGAGCGGAGTCAGCTCGCTTGGTTTCAAGACGATACAGTTCCCAGCCGCCAGGGCAGGCGCTATCTTTTTGACAGCAATCAGCATTGGATGGTTAAACGGCGTAATTTGCGCAACCACCCCGAGAGGCTTTCTGTCAATCCAATTGTGGAGTTTACCAACGGTGGGTAACACAGAGCGCTCCTCGGTCCGTATGAGGGCAGCATAGTATTTGAACCACTTGGTAAGGGTGGGAACTTGAGCGTTCATTTCGCGGATAGCGCGCCCGGTTTGCTGGACTTCTAGTTGAATCAATCGCGGGAGGTTCTCCGTCAGCAGTGTGGCGATGCGGTCTAGAATGTCTGCGCGGACATGACGCGGGGCTTTGGACCACACTCCAGATTTGAAGACTCGATGAGCAGTCTTGACAACATCGTCAACATTGGCTACAGACGCCGCATGGCAGTGTGCAAAGATCTCGCCAGTGGCTGGGTCTTCAATTGGCAGTCTGTGATGTAGTTAGCGATTATGATTAGTCTTCACTCTGTGCCTCGCTAACTGACTGCTCTGCTCCGCCTTCCACCTCTTTGCCCTCCACCCACATCATGTACGTATCTATTCCCTTGTCGGTCATATTCCTAAAAAGTCGAGCTGAGACTTGAAGAAAAAGCAATGAGTCTTCGCGACAAAATATCTGTCCAAATGATAACGGAGTTGCCCGATGGCAAGTGGAGCGTGATTAGTTAGTAGCGGGGTCAGCGATTAGCTCCTTCCCACCTTCAGTATCGTGAACGTTACTAATACCCCACAGTATCATCCATGTGGGTTAAGTCCAAGGCGGATTTGTCAACGGTACTCCAAATGCAGTATTTTTCCTCATGATTCATGATACGCCATCGAATTGTATCACTTTATCTGATTCAACTTCATACCAATGGCTGATTGCGCCCCGCATCCATCGCGCATACTTACGAGTAATGATGTGCCACTGCCAATTTACTACGTTTTTTCTTTTTTGTAGGACCCAGTGCTGAAACTACTCATAATCACTGAAATTTTTGTTTGAATTTCTATACAGTCTAGAAGAAAATAGGATTAAAAATCAGAGTACCAAGCCAATTCTATTGCCGCCAGCATTACCATAGCCGCTTCTAAAATACAGGCGTGGCTTGGTCCAGGTATCGCTCCTGAGTCCCGTAAATATGCCAACAGCGATAGTGCAATAAAGGGTATTGGGTATCTGTCCATGTTTGCCCCTCACTAGCCTAAAACCAATGTACAATAAAAAAAAATGCGAAGCCCATCCAAGTAAGATGCGGCTAGGACGCTATTTAGTTTGGGCGACACAGTCGCATGACGAACATTACACAAGAAAAATTATGTGAGACCCAATCATGGACCACCTGTTCAATGTCAAGTTAGTCCGAGGACGCTTTTCCCCTTTTCGTTACCCCTCCTGCATTCCATTACTCTCTTAACCTCTGCCTCACCCTCGGCTCCATGTGCAATGAGTAGCGCAATCAACACGCTTCGGTCTCGAGGTTCCAGTCCAGCTGATTTGAGAGCCACTTGTAGCGGCGTTTGTCCAGCTCTTGATTCCGAGTTGACATCCACACCGGCTTCTACCAAGTACTTTGCTATTGCCGACGCTCCAGGCGTCCGGAGGGCGAGGTGAAGGGGAGTTTCGCCGTGAAAGTCGGGCGTGTCGAGTGAATGGCCCTGAGAAGCGAGGTATCGTACTGTGTCGAGTTGACATCCTAATGTGGCGGCATGCACAGCGGTATAGTATGACGTTGGTGCGACATTTTTCCGAGTGATATCTGCTCCAAACTCCATTAGAAGAGGCAATATCTCCGTGGACATTTCGTACGCTGCTCTCATGAAGAAGAATCCAAATTCGGGATGCGGTGCCATTGGGGTCGCGCCTTCCCAAATGACTCTTTCTACTTCAGCAGCTGTTGCTTCTGCAGGTATGTTTGCCAGGATGCGGTCAACGGCCTCCCTCTGGCGGGGCTCTAGCTCTTTTCTTTTGCCTTTTGTAACGGCTATCCGGTCCGAGGTGATCTTCTTATGGATAATTGATACATCCGAGCCGGAAACAATAGACGCATATTTTGATGCATGTCTGGATGCATAGCTTGATGCGAGCTGCAACCGGGTGCTTGCCTTTCCTGATAGGTCGGTACACCAGCTGTACGATTTCTTCAGTCGAGATTCTGGTGCCACGAGGGTTTGGGCGGAGGAGGCGCAGTCTTCAGTGTAAAAAGTACCGCGTGATGGGGTAGTGGGCTCTTGAAAAGAGGGTACTACGAGACGCAACACTGACGATTGCTCAATGTTAGAATACGAGAGGGGTTGTGCATCTTCAAACGACGGGACATTAGCGAGCCATGTACCGATACCGCTGTCATTCATACTCGCATGAGACGAACTCTGGGCACTCGGACTCTTTCTACCGCTGGGACTCTTCCTTCCGCTTCGAGGCGTTTCGCCCAGAACGGGCTCTAGGGAATCTGGCCGCGGGATGACTGATCTCTTTGCTGGCTGCGTTGTTGTGGTTGGGGTGCTTTCTTTTGATACCGCTGTAATGCATGACCGGAGTAGGCGGACAGCCTGAAGTAGGGCTGATAGCGTTTCCCGGGCTGTTTGATTAACATGAATCTCATCTGTATCTGTTCGCTTCAAGAGATCATCGCTGTGCGTAATCAGATCGCTGACATAGCTCTGAAGCAGAGCGTCCAGGGTATCTTGCTGACCGAATCTGTGGGTCGTAAGCAACCTTGGCATTGGGAACTCGCACAGGGAATGGCAGCACTTACAGGGCGAGATAGTCCAGAGACAGCTCTAGGATGACTTTTGAGGCGTCTAGATCGTGACGAAGGTTAACCAAAGGCCCGTCTCGAAGGTCCCGCCAGTCATCCTTTGGGTTTGCACTGCAAGAGAGTTTGAGAAAGGCCTTTTGGAGGCGATCACTGGTGTCGTCGCAAGAATCAATGACGCGTGTTACAGCGTCAACAAGAGATTGGGGCAGGCCAGCAGCCTTTGTCGAAAAGTCATCCTGGGCAATGCCTAGGCCTGTTTTGATAATGATCAGATTGGTGTTGATGGCATTGAGGTCATGTCTAGCATCGCGGACTTTGCGCGCAAAACTGCTGATGTCCGGGATGATCTGGATCGGATATTAGCGCAAAGGGTGGGATGATGAACATGCGAAGCAGTTCTAACCTGGCCGATCGATGTCCCTAGCGCTGCGCATCGAGCGGCGACCGTACTCGGGCGCGCCATCAACTTGTGGTGCTGTGGCGAGGCTGCAAGTGCGGTAGACAGGGCACCGAGGGATTGCTGGTGCAGCCGGGGAGACTTTTTTTGGAAGAGTGGCAGCGGGCGCTGCTATGAGTTGGGAAGACTTGGTCGAGGCGGAGGGCTTGTCACATTGTGCAGCAACGGCGTACGGCACGGATCCCAGGCTTTTGCGTGCCCGCCGGATACTCGGTGGCCTAAGGTGGGCTTGGAGGGCGAGGGGAAAGGAGAGGGGAGAGAGGTGTTACGGCGAAGCGCCTCAGCCCAGTGTTTATCAAAGACGTT